AACGGTAGTTCCGGCGAAATACGGCGTGAGGGCGGATTTCCAAATCCACCAAGAGTCGACCAATCAGATTCAACCACTTATGTTGAGCAAACACCGGTAGTGGTTGATGAAATTCTAACGCCTTCCTACAAAGATGTTTGCGGTTGTTCGGCGCGAGAGGGCGTTATTCGCGTAACGAGTAATCTCGGCCAATCACCGCTGAGTTTGGTTTCGCGTAATTTGCCACCACTTAAGTGGTGTTCATTGACGGAAAACTCTGACCAATCACGTTCATGTTCGCGTCAAGTTATTCGCCGCACGAGGGATGCATAAAATTGACGGATATTCTTAGCCAATCAGAAAAAAGATGCATGAAAAGCATCAAATTGCTAGAGGGCTACCGGTTGTACGATTCCGCGTTCAACCAATCAGAATCAAGGTTGAAATTTGCGCACAATCAAGGCCAAAACAAGACACTCTCAAATTATCTTTGCGCTATCGTTCACTTATATTCAGTTGGCCAATCACACTCCAATATGAGTTCTCCTATCAACATTTCTGTCTTCCTCGACAATACAGCAGTTCGAGACAATCTACTAAATTTCGTCGAAAACTTTGATGCGGGCCCAAGTCACTACACACCCAGCACCCCGGCTCCCACCGCGAGATGGCTCCGGTCAATCCGCCGCGTTCCCGTCCGCTGCTAAGATTCAACCGTCTCCAATCTCTCTGAAGTCAGGCTAGGAGGAATAGTCGAGGAGCTCCTAGGACACCGCTACAGTCAATTGCGAGTTTCGTCGAGAAGTGTTGGCGTAGACGCATTTCAAACCGGGCTCGTCAGCTGCGTGCTTCAGAGGTAGTTTATGAAATCGAAACGAAGCCGTTCGTCTCACAAGATAAGAAGAAGGTTGTGGGCCTTCCCAGCCTGTTCGATGTCGGGTTACTGGCGGAGCTAACCGACGAAGACGAGTTTCTCGGGCCGATGAAGAGGGCAATCTTAGACAACGATGTTCAGTCCTTCTCAAAACAGGGCCTGTACGTTGCTCAGTTTTGGCCAGTAGCGTCGGTGGTGGATAATTGTATCCTCATTGACAATAAGTTGGCAATTCCCTTCAAGCTTTGATCGGCGATTTTGACACAACTACACCGATCTCACCCTGACCAACAAGCCATGATAGAGGCGGCCGAGTTCATCTGGTGGCCCTACATGAATCGACAGATCGTTGAAAAATGTCGGATGTGTATGGAATGTACGAAGTTTGATAAGAAATTGAAGTCGTCTCACATACTTACTTCTTCGCTACCGCTCCCTCGTTTATTTGCTCCTAATGAGGAATTACAGTTAGATTTTGCTGGTCCATTGCAGGACGAAAAAAGAAAAGAGCCTTCGTCTTGGTGGCAGTAGACCGCTTCTCAAAATTCCCGTCCGTTTTACTTACTAAAAATACCTGTTCCAAAAATGTAGTCATCTTTCTGGAAGCATAAATACGTACCCACGGCATGCCAAAATCTATACGCAGAGACCACGCCTCCGGTTTTAAAAATGTTTTGTTTAAGGATTTTCGCAAAAATTTTGGAATCGATCAATTATTCTGTCCAGTCGGTGACTACCTTGGCTGTGAGCTAGTGGAAAGGACTATCAAGACGATAAAACGTAAATTGGGAACAGAGGCATTCAGCACTCAGTAAAAAGGTCTAAATCATGTCCTCCGCACGATCTTGGATGACCTTAGAAAATCCAAGCACGCAATTCTTAAGAATTCTCCCTTTGAATTTCATTTCGGTCGAAAACCGAATACGGAATTTTATTTGGCCAGGGATAAATTTCTTGCTAATGCTTCAGATCAAAGTATCCTAGCGCGGAGTCTCCTGAAACAAAGATTATAGCCTGGTTAGTGTGAAAATGGTGAAACGTGGTTCTCTCAGTCCAGACGTGGCCCTGCGCTTCAAAAGAGTTGTCCCGGGTCAGAAGATAGCTGACACTTAACAATATAAAGCCCTTGAAGATCTCACACTCGCTGCTAACAGGCGAAGCCAGATTTAACGTAATTTGAACATAAAGACGGGGCGGAGCTTGATGCGGGAGCTCGGTTCACGCTATAATGAGATTGATAATGCTCTGAAAACAGGCCTCAGCAAAAGTATCCTAAGGTTTTACGACCGCGTTTCGGATGCACCCAGCAGAGAACCTTCGGTTTCACCGTGTCATTCGAGTCAAAGACCTTCCGCTAGTCAGGATCAGACAAACGTTGCCTCCTGGTAAAATAGCGTCAAGAGGTCAGATCACTATGCCTACGCAAGAATAACCTATTTCGATAGTTCCAGCTCCTCACAAGCGGTCGGCAGATCCGCCAGTGGTCCTGTTGTCGGATCTCTTCAGCGCCTCTTCAGGGGCCATCGGCACAACACGTTCCTCAAACGCCTTCAACCCCATTGTACCCATCCTTGCCTTCGGATTCCCCAATGGGAGGCCTCGACGTGTCGAACAGCTCTGTGACCACTCTGCCTGCTACCGACACGGTAGTTGCACGAAATCCAACTCCATGATCTCGGTACGCCGTTCTGGTGATCCCAGACACCACAGCAGAGACTTCAACTCCAGGCCCAGTAACGTCAGAGATCGCTAAACCGGGTCGCACTACTTCAGAGAGTCCGAGTCATGTCGAACCGCCACAATCAGTGGTGCAGGATGTAGAGTCGCATACTTCTGCTTCGAGTGCCAGAGCGTCAGGTAGAAACAGAAAAACTCCAGCTCGCTACGGTAGTCCAACTCGCCATTCCGTCAAAGAAGTGGAAGAAGGCGCGGCCTCTTCTCCGTTGCCAGGTCAAGTCGGAGATAGTCCTCCAGTCACCCCGAAGCGTCGCTTTATTCGGAGAAACGCCGAAGACTTCGCTCAATCAAGTTGATCGACAAGTAGACAATCTCCAAAAGGGATTGTTTTTAAAGATTAATCAGTCTCAGTACAAAGCATTCTTCAAACTCTTCAAAACTTTGTCTCAGTGCTGTTGCTCGAAAATATAATACTGTTTTTCTAGTTTTGTTTCTCACCCAAGTGGTGGTGTTATTTATCTTAAAAGAAAAAAATCATTCTTGTAAGATTTTTTTTGTTGCTCCGGATATGTCAAGCCACACATACCATATCATGTTTATACGTTGCACTCTTTGCTGCAGTTATTGCAGTGGCGCCAAGGTCGCCCAACAGTCGTGCTAAGTTATCTCACATAGTTCTAAAAACTTAAATTCATCTGTCTGTTCATCATCGTACGATTCAGACCTACTCTTCTTGTTACGTTAGCTTAAAAAACTGTATATCTTTCTCTACCCAATACACTTTAAACATAAGGTTAAATCTTATTGGGTTAAGTCTATTCTGCTATAGTACTTCTATATACATACTACGGTTGTAGTTATTTACTTCAACTCTTCTATTTTACCGAGTTTTATCAGTCTCTGAGTTCGATAAATGTCGGAATCTAACTGTTTTTTTTTTTTTTCTTCGCAAAAAATTTTTACCACAGGCAAAATCAGACAAGTAGGTGATTTATCATAAAAAACGTTCTACCAACTCTTATTTGACTGATATTCAAAAAAAATCAAAAGAATTTTTTTCAGTGCCATGACGTTTGTGTTCAAAAGTTTTAGTTTGCAGTCCAAATAGATCAAGCAAAGACAAAAAATTGAAATTAAAAATTTAGCTAGAAAAAAAGTATATTTAGTTTCAAAGCCTCCTTTAGCATGTCTCATGTTCTGAAATTGTTCGGATGAAATTGGATTGTTGAAAGGTCAGATAATTGAGATCAAATTTCCCCGTTTTCTGGAAAGTTTTCAAAATTGTCTGCGCAGTAGTTTGACCCATGCGTCATTGTGTCGCGAACAAAAGATTTCAAAAATTGTTTATTTTTCTTTTACTCTTTACTGTCTTGGGAAGCGGTGGTGAAGTGGTTACGTTTCCGCTTCTCAATTGAAAGATTGGATGTTTGAGGCTCGCCATGATCCGCGTTTGTTGCTTGAGTGTGAGGCAACATTTTCCAGCCCAGAAATATAGCCAAAAAACGTGCTCCATGGAGAGCTGAGCAGCTCTTGTGCTGGTCCTTTCCCTTGAGGATAAACGTTCATAAATTAAGTTAACTTGGACCTTCTGGACAGTTTGCACAGCAACTTGCAGTTCCTGTTTTTTAGCACAGTTTGTAATTATTGTATTACTTCGATGTTATCTGGATATGTTTAAATGGTTACTCAGGTCACAGAAATGTTTTTCTAAGTTTTTGTTGCGTTACTAAACTTCAAATCTGTCCTCATTTTTATGGAAGTACCCAAAGGTAAAAAACAGATGCTGATAAAACTTAAAAAATACTGTCAAATTGATCGGACATTCTTTTATACTAGCACACTATCTGAATACTAATTTTATATTAGATGAATGTGCTTTTTCTGATATTGTAAATTAAAAACGCAGATACTCCTAGTTGGACTGCACAGTGTTCATCTCATCTCCTAATAAATTAACGAGTTGGAGATGATTGCATTAGGTATTTAAGACAATTGTTTCAGAACTACCTGAATCAAAATTGCAAAACATATTTTCAGCATCTGGAATACGTTTCAATATAGTTTAGCTAGCATAATCTCATAGAGGGGCGGGTTTAAACAGCTTTCGACGAGCCCTTCACCACCTAAAGGATACCTTTTTGGGACTTTCTTATGACATTTTCAGCCGATCTGCTCCAATGTTTTGCTGAAACTGCATTCGGTGCCATCACACTAACTTCTAGGGAGAATAGCGCGCCAAAAACCTCGGTTTTTCTCATTAAAAACCTTCCAAAAAGTGTCCAAAAAGCAGTTTGGTCTCTTTTTTAAAAAACTTACCAGCGGCGCTGAAAATTGTGGCTAAATATGGTCTCATCATAGCAATTATTTTCCTGGGGCCATGTTTGCTACTGAAGATTAATGAACATAGATATTGGATTAACTACGTCAATTATCTAATTGTATAAGCGTTTGATACCATTCAGCTGATGAATCATCTGCTTCATGCTTTACGATAACCGCGCATTTTAATTTAGTCCACACAACTAAATGTTCAGCTGGAGTTATTAATTATTTATATAATGATTTGAATTTTCTTATGAACCTTGGATCACCGTACTAGAAAAAAAAGAGTTTTTGCGTTCCTTGTATGGAGTAAGCGCGCATCCTATAAGTATGTGATCGCGAATTGTCAACCAAATCGAGTTTTACATTTATTGCGTTAAGATGAATCAAAATCGAATTACCCATTAAAAACGACAGGTGTTTTTGTTTTTGTAGTTATTCCAACTTTATGACAAGTTTGGAAATTTGCTTTTCTTCCAATGTACTACTTTTCCGCTGACAAAAACTGTTGAACTTATGATCAAGCTATTTGCCTCAAAAATTATAGAAAAAAGTGAACATTTGATTTTTAATATTGGCATGACGTTTTTATCCGGTCAAGTCTGTACACTTTGAGAGAGTAGAGGCATAAGTTCTGTTCTGATTTTTATCCGCCAACATGAGCTCTTGCGATAAACTTCAGTCACGATTCTTTTCATAATAAAATTATATTACATCGATTGCTAAATGCTATTTCGGGTGTCAGGAAGGAAGGCGCAGCAGCTTAATTCATTTTGAAGGGGATCAATTTTCTAATAGCTTTAGTGTTTTATTTTTTCTTCCTTAATATGCCCAGTACGCACCGATCTCATTACATGCTCAGTGCCAGTATCTGTAAAAGTTTAAGGGTAAAGTAAAAATATACGCTCTTTACAGTTCCCAACTTTATTTCATCCATCTTTCACCAGAAGACCAGATAGCCAAAATAGATAAACGATTATCGTAAAAAATTGACTCTGAAATCAATTTTTTATTGGTTCTAGTTTGCGTCAAGAGTGATTAAATTGAAAGAAATTACACTTACTTTGATTCATAAATGTCAGAAATGTCATGCTTGCTTGATGATAAATGTCATGCTTGCTTGATGATGGTTGCATTTCTAAAATTATCCATTCAACAAACCTAAAACTGTTTCAACAAATAAACTTAAAATGCGACCTGTTTTGAAACTTTTCGCATGCTGCATACTGATTTTATCGGCCTTACACCTTTTATATTTTGCAATTATTTCAAAATCGACCAATTCAAAAGAACGAGAAATATTTCCGCTTAAACCTCCAAAAACAGCTGAGAATCCGAATGATTCAAAGTATGGAAGTGTCCAGGAGTTTAAGGAATTGAGCCAGGAAAGCAGTTATGAATTTGCTAACCAATCGTGTATTTTTGGACACCAAGTTTTCCTTGACCATCACGATGTGCTGAGAATTCTGTCCGCGAAGCAAGTTGAACATTGCGAGCCAATCCGAAATGTGGCATTAGTCAAAACACATAAGGTACAACCCGAGTCGAGGTCCGCGACTTAAGAAAAGACTTTGTAAGTCGCGACGCATTCCGTTTTCAGACTGGGTTTCGCAGTCCCACCGCGGGTTTAAGTCGCGCCGTTCAGTTTTTTCTCAAGTCGCGCCGTCCTTCTTTTCTTAAGTCGCGCCGTCAGTCTTTTCTTGAATCGCTCCGTCAGTTTTTTCTCAAGTCGCGCCGTCCGTCTTTTCTTAAGTCACGTCGTCAGTCTTTTTTTTAAGCCGTGCCGTCAGTCTTTTCTTAAGTCGCGCCGTCAGTCTTTTCTTAGGTCGCGCCGTCAGTCTTTTCTTAAGTCGCGCCGTCAACACTGTATTAGGATATTACAATAATAGGCTAGTAGCGTGTGCCGTTGGAACGCTGGAACAAAAAAATATCTTATTCATCATCGCGAAATCTAATTATAGTAATCTTCAATTGTCTAGAGCGAATAAACACGTAGAAGCGACCGCTTGACTAGCATAAAGCTTGATTCGCTGAAAAAATTGAAAACATCAAAACGTATCAAGAAGCATAATTTGACAGCCTAATTCTTAGAAATATTCGCATTTCTGAGAAATGGAAAAATACGACATACCGCTACTAGCCTGGTATTAATGCGGTACTGGAGAATTTTGAAGCAGCCTTTTGAAAGTAAAGATAACTGTCAATTACTGATTTTTGCTCATAATATCACCCAAGCCAAAGATATGCACAGCTGAGCGAAGCGCTCGAAGCGGCCACTACTTGCCAATGACATGTGTAATTGGTACTTGAATGGATTTTATGCTAGTCTATATACCGCCATACAGAAAACCAAATATGAGCAGGAAAAATGAATGAAGAACTAAATGAATAAGAAAGAAGAGCAATTTTCAGAAAGAAAAGCAATTTTTCAAATTTTGTTTATTTGTTTCAGAAAGGGGTGCCTAAGTTAGTTATCAAACAGATGAAAATAGGGGCAATACTAAGGTTTAATTAAACTTAATTTGTTGTAAAAATAACTTGCGAGAGGTCAGCCACTGATCAAATTCAAATGTCTGGCCTAAAAACGAAATTGATCAGACCAGTTTTTTCTCGACAATGAGAATTTTTTTTTGATTTCGTATATTTGTATAAAAAATGACTAATAGTTCCCTTATGATACACCAATTGGCCCGTTTTCTTTGAGGTACTCAAAACTAGTAGCAAAAGTCACTTTCTAAGCCATAGTTCTTTCGCACTCTTTTTAAAATCTTAGTAAATCGTTTTGATATTAAGTAGATAACAATCAAAGTTTCAACAATACGTCAATATGTAAAAGGAACACTTCATTTTTCTTATTTAATTGTTTTTATTTTTGCATGTGAACAAATGAATTTGTATTTGGCGACTAGATTACTTCTTGCAAATTTGAAAATGAAATTATTTCTATAAATTGAAATGTTACCAACTCATTTTTAGGTTCCATTATCTTGTCTTTTGTCTTTTTTTGCGATTTAGGTTTTCGATTTATGATGTATTGTTTTAGTCTCTATATTTATTGTGCTTTAAAACGCGACCAATAGATTTTGTGCTTTTTTCTGTTTTAAGATGACTGGGCTCATTACTATATAGCTTAAAATTTTATGTGAAAATAGTTTTTTTTGCTCATTCCTTACCGCTCGGTAATCGATTCTCAATGCTCGTTTAACGTTGTTAAGTGGGCTTTGAGACATCACATATGCCCTTTGAGATATGCTTTTTGCGATATCATTACTTGAAACATCCCATTCCATACATTTTAGATTTTTCTGACTGCCAAATTATTCCAACAAAATTTTGAACAGAAAACTTTAAAAATTGTAGTTTAAGGTTATGTTGTTATTTAATTTCAAGTGAAGTCCGCGCAAAATGCTGACGAAACTTTTTGTGAGAAAGCTCCCTAGAACGTGTTTTTATCCAGATTGCAAGCTTCCCTAGTTGTACCTGGATTCCGCATTCCTTGCTTGATTTCTCATTGTCGCTTGGTTCCGTTGTTTTCAAATTCCAAAGTTTGCTTCCAGATTCCACAATTTGCTGTTGGGACGCTGGAACAAAAAATTTGTTTTTTTTTATTGCCAGATTTTATGAAAGCCAAACAGCCAAATGTCTAGAGCACATGAACAAAGAGGAGCGACCGCTCAACTAGCCTAAAGCTCGAATAACTTAAGACTTCGAAAACATCAAACCTTATCAGCTAGCATAAATTGACAGCTAATCCTTAGCATTACTCGCATTTCTTATAAGTGGAAAAGTACAACATATGAGATCCTAGCCAAATATTATAATATCCTAAAACAATTCTATCAATGCGGTGTTGGCCAATTTCGAACTGTTTTTTTCTTTAAAAAATTAGTGTCAAACACAAATTTACACGCATAAAAACACTCGTGCCAAAAATAAGCGCAGCTGAGCGAAAATCTCTTAGCAGTCACTATTAGCCAATGCCGTTTTTTTTATATTTGATTGGATTTTATGCTAGTCGATACACCACCATATGGGAAAATATATATTAGCCGTTTATTGTCAATGAGGAAAGCAGTTTACTGATCCTATAATTAATAAAATTCCGATCAAAATAAATTTAAAAAGGAAAAATTTCAGAAACGATACTTTTTAAAGGTTTTTATATTTTGTTTTAGTTAGGGGTTACTCACTTTGTTATCAAACTGATGAAAAAAGGGGCAAAAAGCTTAAATAACACGTAAATTGTTTTTTAAAAAAATTTGCGAGAGATCCGGCAATGATCAAACATCAATTTTTTTTAGCCGAGAAGCGAAATTCTTTAGACCAAGTTTTCTCGACACTGAGACAACTTTTTGTTTAAGTAATTTTGTTTTAAAAAAAGATCAATAGGGCTCTTGCATGATAGGCCGAATTGGTCCATTTTGTAAGTTAGTCCAAATTGGTAGTAAACATTTTTTTCTACACCATAGTTCCCTCTCACTCTTTTTGAAGGTGTTGTTGGAAAAGCAAAATTAGAGTGGGGTCAATCATAGTAAATCGTTGAAACCGCGGACTGGTTTTTATTTAAAGTAGATAACAAACAAAGTCTCTGGAATAGGTCAATATGTAGTAGGAACTTTTGGTTATGCACATTCAGTCATTTTTGCATGAGAAAACAAATATATTCGGCTACTAAATTTCTTTTTTGCAAATTTGAAACTGAAATTATTTTTTGATTTGTAATTTTTCTATCTCCTATTTTGTGTTACTACATTTTTTTAAAAAATGTTTTCGGTTTATGTTGAAATGGCTTAGTCACTATATTTTGTGTGCTTTCAAAAGCAAAAAAAGAGAAGATTTTTGTGCTTTTGTTTGTTTCAAGACGGGTCAGCCTATAACTTTATATCTTAAATTTATTTATTGAATTTTTTCTTCTCAACAATCTTGCACCTAAAAATTGTTGTCTTAGTTACCGCTCGGTCATTCATTCTGATTGCTCATTTAACATGATTGTGTTTCCCATTATGCTTTTGAGACATCTTTTTTTGAGTTCTGTAAAATGTTTTTTTTTTGTACTTAGTGGCTGACATTTCAGTTCCTACCACCTAGCTTGCAATACTATTGTGATACGCGTTGCGATATCAATTGAAAACAAGGTGTAATTCAATACTATATTCTGTATTTTAAATTTAGTTTTTCTTTTCTTTGCGTTGATATTGGTTACTGAGAGCTAGATCAGCACTGAACAACTCTGACCTCTCACTTGCTTGGTCTCAATGTCATAACACATTGTGACCTTGAGTATACCATGAAATTAATCACTAAGCACCGTAGGTTGGTAGTACATACATAATCAATTACTACTATTGCAGTAGCGGTATGACACACCCCCCTCGGTAAAAATAAATTATACAACATAAGTAGGATAATTTATCTTAAAAAGAGTTTACTGTACTCAGTTTACAAGAAAGTTTTTGGGTTACTGAAGGTTTAGTTCATAGTTTTCTTCAATTTTCTTCCAGCTCTATTTCCCAACTCGGATTCCATTCCACTCCTTCATCTAGCGTAGCATACCCAAATTTTCGCATGAATAAGTGTCGTTCGAGCCGTTTTAATTTTGATTCCACAGGTCTATCACTTCGTTCCTTGAAGTCTCTTAGTTGTTTACGATATTCCTGAGGTGCTGTTTTGAGGAGTGCTCCCCCTGTCAGATTCTCTGAAATCTCTTTAATTGAGTGCTTTATCGGGTCACCAAAGCGTTTCGGTTCCTTGTTCTTCGTTTGCCTGGAGCTTCGTCTGACACTCGACTCCTCCGCACTCGACCCCTCCGAGAATCCTTGTGGTGGTTCAAATGTCGTATCTTTCTCCGAAATTTGTTGCGGGTCTCCTCTAATATCGCCCGCAACTCTCTGAACTCCACGTTTTAGTAACTGGTCTGCAAACTTTTCCCAATCGGAAGGTGCCAAATTTCGGTTCTGGAATGTATCTAGTATGTCCTCTGGAGGTGTCTGGGAATCAATACATTTCAATTTTGTCCGCTGTTTCGATTTAGGCGTAGAACTTAACTGAGTTTTATGACCTAACTTCCCCGACTTTGAAGTTGATTGCTCCTGTTTCGGATCGGCTGCCGTCGCAGTTTGGCCTGTCCTATTTTGGTTGTTTTGGTTCTTCTTTTCTTTAGCTTTCTTCTCCGTCTTCTTTTTGTCGCTCTCCTCTGCAGGTGAACTTGGACCCGTCAAATTTGAACGGACTATCTCATTTTCCAATGTTCCCAGTTCGGATCGGGCTGCCTGCGCAGTTAAGGCTGCGTGAAATGACTCCAGAGATTCTCCGGATTCTTGCATTCTCGTAAACAGTTTGTATCTTTGGTACGTTACACATTTCACCTTTTGAAACGAAACTTCTGCAAGTTCTGTAATTTCCCTGAACGTCATTTTCGATATTTCAGCATGTGGGTTCTTTTGTAGGAATCGTTTCTTTCCTTCTGTACCCAAAGACAAAAATAATCTGGACATCAATTTCTTTTGTACTTCATTGTAGAAAACATTGTGTCCGACTCGTGGGCCTCTTGTTCTTCTCTCTTCGTTCTCCAACAATACTCTGTCCCTTACTAGCTTGTCTCTAAGGGTCCTCGCATTCCTCGCATCTTCATTCTCTCCCTCTCGAGGTGTTTCTGGTCGAGGAGGTGGCTCCTCTAGTATGTCTTTTGGTTCTTCCAAAATAATCTCTGGGTTCACATTTTCTTTAACCGTTACCGCCATGAGAAATTGTTCGAACCAGATTTTGAATTGCCACGGAGGATCTAAATTCGCTGACGCCCAAAATACGGGGATTCCCATATCCTTTCGGTTGTCTTGAGCTGCGAATCTTGAGCTGGTTGTCTTGAGCTGCGCCATGTGATATGCGTTGCGATATCAATTGAAAACAAGGTGTAATTCAATACTGTATTCTGTATATTGAATTTAGTTTTTCTTTTCTTTGCGTTGTTATTGGTTACTGAGAGCTAGATCAGCACTTAACAACTCTGACCTCTCACTTGGTCTCAATGTCATAACACACTGTGACCTTGAGTATACCATGAAATTAATAACTAAGCACCGTAGGTTGGTAGTACATACATAATCAATTACTGCTATTGCAGTATCGGTATGACAACTATGTTAGTGTTTTATTGCAACTGTTGCAAAATTCTTTCCGCTTTGCCTAAAATCAATTTTTGGAACCCAAAGATGAATTGGGGAATATAAAGAGTTCCTAGCTCAATTCGCATTTTTTGAGAAGTGTACAAAAGTGTGCACCAACCAAATATCCAGTTCGAATGTTTGTTTTTCCTCTTTTTGTATATGTTCCGTCGGAATATTTAAGTGAATTTGCGGATTCCAGTTTTTGTACTACAGGGTCAAACATAATATACCGAGCTAGACGTTCTGACTTCCGCACATAATGCAACCTAAATCGCCATTTTAAACAGCAAACTCTAATCTGTTCAAGTAAAATGAGCTAGCTCGCGAAAAACACAAAAAACGTCAAATAATGTTGTTAATCCGAATCGCAGAGAAGCTATCAGTAGGCCTTAACAGTCCTGTCGAGGATAGTCCATGAGTATTATTTCCCCACATACCGGACTGTGGTATTTTGTTGAGCGAAGCTCTTTTTTTGCGACTCGTGGCAGTTTTTTTTGCGTCCAGAACTTACACGTGGTACCACTATTGGTGCCGAAATTGGTCAGGCTGTGGTAAGCCTGAAGCTAGAGGTCATATGAGAGCCCGTCCTCGCACACTATCTTTTCCATGGCATGGGATCGAATACACGTTCTGACGATTTCAAAGTGAACGCCTTACGACTGTGCTCAGTGCCTCCAAGCAAAAAAGCAAAAATAGTATGGAAAAGATCGATGTGTTTCAGTGTGCCAGTGACCTGATGGCTTATATTCTGATGCGGCATGCTGACATCCACTCGCTAGAAGTACTGCTACCGCGTAAAAGGGGTTCCAATTTAGGGTAAGAATCAATCAAGTCAAAGAGATGTATTGTTTGTTCGGGGATGCGTGCTCTGAATGAAACGAGTGAATATTTTAGCTATGGGACTCAAAAACGTTTCGTCATTGAGCTACCCTCAAGATTACAAGACAGAAAGTTTCAGGTAAAATAAACTTCTACCAATTAACAGCAATCTGAAATTTTGAGAAAAAAAATCGAGTTTAAAATTGAACCCGAGAAAAATATCAATTTAAACTAGCAGGCGCTAATACACTGGTTTCAAAAAAAAAGTTTGAACTAATTGCACAAGAGATAGAACATCATAACAGAAAAATTTCAACAGCCAGAGTTTCCAGAAAATTTGCAGATTCAAAAAAAAAATGCGATCATGCGAAAAATTTGAAAACGTTTAAAGTTATTTCATTCCATTAAATTTTTAAGGCTCATTTCTAAATTCCTATGAATTTGACGGCAAAAAAAGCGAATATGTGGATCACTATTCTAAAATTTAATGAACTATTCCTTAATAAAAAGCCAAAACAATGTGATGAAAACTTTTTTCTTGCAACTAACGGAGCTATACAACTGTGCCGAAGTAGAACAGTGCCAAAAAAAATTAGTTCAAGAGTGCCGAAAATGAAAAAAAAACTGTTCAACAGTGACGAAAGTTTTTTTGTTCAATAGTGCCAAAAAATGATAAAGCCACTGTATAGAGTTTGAATTATCGCTTATAACAGATAAAACATAACGTTTCTCAATAATTTTCAAGGTTTAGATTTCTCAATGCATAAGTTCGCTTCATTGACTTTTTTTTTCCTTTTTTCTTCTGTATTTTTTCTTAGTTTTTCGTGGAATATCACCATTATGAAAAGCTTTCAATGCCAGTTTGGAATTTTTTCCTTCTCGCTTCATCTTTCGGATCAAAACCCAAAAAGTTAGATAAAATTGCTCATTTTTTTTTGTTTCATATAACATGCCAATTTTTTACAACAGTTTGTGGTGATTTATGCCGGCCTATCATACTAGTTCCGCGTTTTCAGTGGAGATTATCCTTTGAGCTAATTTTTTTTCGAAAACACAAAATTTTTTGAAATTCATTCGTAAATTTCAATCAAAATAAAAATTTTTCACTAGTATTTGATTTGCTTTAATGTCTTCTCGATAGGCAAATAAGACAATCGTTGAGTTAATTCTCTATTTTTTTGCCGATACTCAGTTGCTAAGCGAAATATTTGCGCTTTTCTGAAAACATCTTGAAAGTAATGAAAATGACAGCCCAAATGCTGCGCTTTTGGAAAAATTTCGCAAACAGCTGCGGTAACGTTTTATTCGTAATCAGTAAAAAAATTGTGGAAAACCCTTTTCCAAATTTTTCACTTTTAATTACAGAATTTTTAAATAAGAATATATGAGATTCTTTTGACTTATTTGAAAGAAAAGCAAAGAGCAATGTTTTGGTTTTCATTGAACTCCTTTGCTAATTTTTTTTGCCGATACTCAGTTGCTAAGTGATATGCTTGGTTTTTTTTGAAAACCGCTTGCAGAAATAAAAATGACAGCCCAAATGCTGAGCTTCTGGTGAAATTAGCTGAGCTTCCCAAATGCTGAGCTTCTGAGCATATCTTTTGAAGGCTCGTTTTGACCACTGGCAAAATTTTTTGGCAAATTTCCGCAAATCTTATGTAACCGTCGATTGCAGGATGGTCGTGAATAGCTAGAAAAATAGTAATTTTGCCCAAACTATTATCAAAAGCGGTTTTTGACTGGCAATTTATCAAAAAAAAATAGTTTGTGTTGTTTTTTTTTTTTTGATAACGGTAGTCCGCAATTTGTATGCCCTTCGAAGGAACAAGTTGGGTTTTTTAAGTCAAGCAATCAATAATTAAACCGCGATAAATTACGATCTTTTGTGAAATTTCATTAAAAATTTGAGTGATAAAAATTGCGTTTGGGCGGCAAAATAATTGAAAAAATTGCAGTTATAGACCTATTGGCGCCAAAATTGGAGAGATTTTCTTGTTAGTTAGCGTCAGTTATTTACCACTCTTTAGAAAAGGTGCTCATTTTTTTTCGAAATTTTTCCGCTTTTTTCGGCACTGCTGTACTTTGGCACTGTTAAACGTCGCCCAACTAACTAACCCGTCTCAATGTTAATTTAAAATACATCCCTATAAACGAAATAATCATTCTGAGCCACGTCTAATAAAGGCGAAGCATTAATTCATTTGTCAAGAAAGTACTTAAGTTTTTCCGGATCCGTAAGGTTCTAATTCCGGTTTAAGTTTTGTCTGATTTTTCTGACCAAAAAACATAGAATATCATCTGAACAAAGTATCGGTACAAAATTGATCAAGAACTTAGATCAAGATAAACGTGCTCATCGAAAAAATGCAAGTTTTGGTCAAATAATTTTACCTGTTTATTTTTAGCCGTCATTTTTAGCCGTCAATGTATAACGTCATTTTTAGCCTGTTTTTTTCAGTTTTGCCTGTGGCGTAGAAAATTGTTGACAAAACAGGTTCCTTATTTTTTTTTCGGAGAGCTCGGGAAAAAATTTGTCGACAAAAAAAAGGTTGGCAAAGTTTTCAAATTTTATTTTTTTGAAAAACCGGCATTCACTTACGCTAGAACACATCGAAACGAAAAAAATCATGATAGTCGATAACTTCAACTCTGGTCAAAAATGGGCAATTCTCAACCTAATGGGTCGAACAAAGCCATCCCTTGGTCCCTAAAATTCTTCGAAAGAGAAAAAACTTTAGTCCACTTTAGTTTGCCAAAAATTTCGCAAACAGCTGCGGTAACGTTTTATTCGTAATCAGTAAAAAAATTGTGGAAAACCCTTTTCCAAATTTTTCACTTTTAATTACAGAATTTTTAAATAAGAATATATGAGATTCTTTTGACTTATTTGAAAGAAAAGCAAAGAGCAATGTTTTGGTTTTCATTGAACTCCTTTGCTAATTTTTTTTGCCGATACTCAGTTGCTAAGTGATATGCTTGGTTTTTTTTGAAAACCGCTTGCAGAAATAAAAATGACAGCCCAAATGCTGAGCTTCTGGTGAAATTAGCTGAGCTTCCCAAATGCTGAGCTTCTGAGCATATCTTTTGAAGGCTCGTTTTGACCACTGGCAAAATTTTTTGGCAAATTTCCGCAAATCTTATGTAACCGTCGATTGCAGGATGGTCGTGAATAGCTAGAAAAATAGTAATTTTGCCCAAACTATTATCAAAAGCGGTTTTTGACTGGCAATTTATCAAAAAAAAATAGTTTGTGTTGTTTTTTTTTTTGATAACGGTAGTCCGCAATTTGTATGCCCTTCGAAGGAACAAGTTGGGTTTTTTAAGTCAAGCAATCAATAATTAAACCGCGATAAATTACGATCTTATGTGAAATTTCATTAAAAATTTGAGTGATAAAAATTGCGTTTGGGCGGCAAAATAATTGAAAAAATTGCAGTTATAGACCTATTGGCGCCAAAATTGGAGAGATTTTCTTGTTAGTTAGCGTCAGTTATTTACCACTCTTTAGAAAAGGTGCTCATTTTTTTTCGAAATTTTTCCGCTTTTTTCGGCACTGCTGTACTTTGGCACTGTTAAACGTCACCCAACTAACTAACCCGTCTCAATGTTAATTTAAAATACATCCCTATAAACGAAATAATCATTCTGAGCCACGTCTAATAAAGGCGAAGCATTAATTCATTTGTCAAGAAAGTACTTAAGTTTTTCCGGATCCGTAAGGTTCTAATTCCGGTTTAAGTTTTGTCTGATTTTTCTGACCAAAAAACATAGAATATCATCTGAACAAAGTATCGGTACAAAATTGATCAAGAACTTAGATCAAGATAAACGTGCTCGTCGAAAAAATGCAAGTTTTGGTCAAATAATTTTACCTGTTTATTTTTAGCCGTCATTTTTAGCCGTCAATGTATAACGTCATTTTTAGCCTGTTTTTTTCAGTTTTGCCTGTGGCGTAGAAAATTGTTGACAAAACAGGTTCCTTATTTTTTTTTCGGAGAGCTCGGGAAAAAATTTGTCGACAAAAAAAAGGTTGGCAAAGTTTTCAAATTTTATTTTTTTGAAAAACCGGCATTCACTTACGCTAGAACACATCGAAACGAAAAAAATCATGATAGTCGATAACTTCAAGTCTGGTCAAAAATGGGCAATTCTCAACCTAATGGGTCGAACAAAGCCATCCCTTGGTCCCTAAAATTCTTCGAAAGAGAAAAAACTTTAGTCCACTTTAGTTTGCCAAAAATTTCGCAAACAGCTGCGGTAACGTTTTATTCGTAATCAGTAAAAAAATTGTGGAAAACCCTTTTCCAAATTTTTCACTTTTAATTACAGAATTTTTAAATAAGAATATATGAGATTCTTTTGACTTATTTGAAAGAAAAGCAAAGAGCAATGTTTTGGTTTTCATTGAACTCCTTTGCTAATTTTTTTTGCCGATACTCAGTTGCTAAGTGATATGCTTGGTTTTTTTTGAAAACCGCTTGCAGAAATAAAAATGACAGCCCAAATGCTGAGCTTCTGGTGAAATTAGCTGAGCTTCCCAAATGCTGAGCTTCTGAGCATATCTTTTGAAGGCTCGTTTTGACCACTGGCAAAATTTTTTGGCAAATTTCCGCAAATCTTATGTAACCGTCGATTGCAGGATGGTCGTGAATAGCTAGAAAAATAGTAATTTTGCCCAAACTATTATCAAAAGCGGTTTTTGACTGGCAATTTATCAAAAAAAAATAGTTTGTGTTGTTTTTTTTTTTTGATAACGGTAGTCCGCAATTTGTATGCCCTTCGAAGGAACAAGTTGGGTTTTTTAAGTCAAGCAATCAATAATTAAACCGCGATAAATTACGATCTTATGTGAAATTTCATTAAAAATTTGAGTGATAAAAATTGCGTTTGGGCGGCAAAATAATTGAAAAAATTGCAGTTATAGACCTATTGGCGCCAAAATTGGAGAGATTTTCTTGTTAGTTAGCGTCAGTTATTTACCACTCTTTAGAAAAGGTGCTCATTTTTTTCGAAATTTTTCCGCTTTTTTCGGCACTGCTGTACTTTGGCACTGTTAAACGTCGCCCAACTAACTAACCCGTCTCAATGTTAATTTAAAATACATCCCTATAAACGAAATAATCATTCTGAGCCACGTCTAATAAAGGCGAAGCATTAATTCATTTGTCAAGAAAGTACTTAAGTTTTTCCGGATCCGTAAGGTTCTAATTCCGGTTTAAGTTTTGTCTGATTTTTCTGACCAAAAAACATAGAATATCATCTGAACAAAGTATCGGTACAAAATTGATCAAGAACTTAGATCAAGATAAACGTGCTCATCGAAAAATGCAAGTTTTGGTCAAATAATTTTACCTGTTTATTTTTAGCCGTCATTTTTAGCCGTCAATGTATAACGTCATTTTTAGCCTGTTTTTTTCAGTTTTGCCTGTGGCGTAGAAAATTGTTGACAAAACAGGTTCCTTATTTTTTTTCGGAGAGCTCGGGAAAAAATTTGTCGACAAAAAAAAGGTTGGCAAAGTTTTCAAATTTTATTTTTTTGAAAAACCGGCATTCACTTACGCTAGAACACATCGAAACGAAAAAATCATGATAGTCGATAACTTCAAGTCTGGTCAAAAATGGGCAATTCTCAACCTAATGGGTCGAACAAAGCCATCCCTTGGTCCCTAAAATTCTTCGAAAGAGAAAAAACTTTAGTCCACTTTAGTTTGCCAAAAATTTCGCAAACAGCTGCGGTAACGTTTTATTCGTAATCAGTAAAAAAAATTGTGGAAAACCCTTTTCCAAATTTTTCACTTTTAATTACAGAATTTTTAAATAAGAATATATGAGATTCTTTTGACTTATTTGAAAGAAAAGCAAAGAGCAATGTTTTGGTTTTCATTGAACTCCTTTGCTAATTTTTTTTGCCGATACTCAGTTGCTAAGTGATATGCTTGGTTTTTTTGAAAACCGCTTGCAGAAATAAAAATGACAGCCCAAATGCTGAGCTTCTGGTGAAATTAGCTGAGCTTACCAAATGCTGAGCTTCTGAGCATATCTTTTGAAGGCTCGTTTTGACCACTGGCAAAATTTTTTGGCAATTTTCCGCAAATCTTATGTAACCGTCGATTGCAGGATGGTCGTGAATAGCTAGAAAAATAGTAATTTTGCCCAAACTATTATCAAAAGCGGTTTTTGACTGGCAATTTATCAAAAAAAAAAGTTTGTGTTGTTTTTTTTTTTTTGATAACGGTAGTCCGCAATTTGTATGCCCTTCGAAGGAACAAGTTGGGTTTTTTAAGTCAAGCAATCAATAATTAAACCGCGATAAATTACGATCTTATGTGAAATTTCATTAAAAATTTGAGTGATAAAAATTGCGTTTGGGCGGCAAAATAATTGAAAAAATTGCAGTTATAGACCTATTGGCGCCAAAATTGGAGAGATTTTCTTGTCAGTTATTTAACACTCTTTAGAAAAGGTGCTCATATTTTTTCGAAATTTTTCCGCTTTTTTCGGCACTGCTGTACCTTGGCACTGTTAAACGTCGCCCAACTAACTAACCCGTCTCAATGTTAATTTAAAATACATCCCTATAAACGAAATAATCATTCTGAGCCACGTCTAATAAAGGCGAAGCATTAATTCATATGTCAAGAAAGTACTTAAGTTTTTCCGGATCCGTAAGGTTCTAATTCCGGTTTAAGTTTTTTCTGATTTTTCTGACCAAAAAACATAGAATATCATCTGAACAAAGTATCGGTACAAAATTGATCAAGAACTTAGATCAAGATAAACGTGCTCATCGAAAAAATGCAAATTTTGGTCAAATATTTTTACCTGTTTATTTTTAGCCGTCATTTTTAGCCGTCAATGTATAACGTCATTTTTAGCCTGTTTTTTTCAGTTTTGCCTGTGGCGTAGAAAATTGTTGACAAAACAGGTTCCTTATTTTTTTTTCGGAGAGCTCGGGAAAAAATTGTCGACAAAAAAAAGGTTGGCAAAGTTTTCAAATTTTATTTTTTTGAAAAACCGGCATTCACTTACGCTAGAACACATCGAAACGAAAAAAATCATGATAGTCGATAACTTCAAGTCTGGTCAAAAATGGGCAATTCTCAACTTAATGGGTCGAACAAAGCCATCCCTTGGTCCCTAAAATTCTTCGAAAGAGAAAAAACTTTAGTCCACTTTAGTTTGCCAAAAATTTCGCAAACAGCTGCGGTAACGTTTTATTCGTAATCAGTAAAAAAATTGTGGAAAACCCTTTTCCAAATTTTTCACTTTTAATTACAGAATTTTTAAATAAGAATATATGAGATTCTTTTGACTTATTTGAAAGAAAAGCAAAGAGCAATGTTTTGGTTTTCATTGAACTCCTTTGCTAATTTTTTTTGCCGATACTCAGTTGCTAAGTGATATGCTTGGTTTTTTTTGAAAACCGCTTGCAGAAATAAAAATGACAGCCCAAATGCTGAGCTTCTGGTGAAATTAGCTGAGCTTCCCAAATGCTGAGCTTCTGAGCATATCTTTTGAAGGCTCGTTTTGACCACTGGCAAAATTTTTTGGCAAATTTCCGCAAATCTTATGTAACCGTCGATTGCAGGATGGTCGTGAATAGCTAGAAAAATAGTAATTTTGCCCAAACTATTATCAAAAGCGGTTTTTGACTGGCAATTTATCAAAAAAAAATAGTTTGTGTTGTTTTTTTTTTTTTGATAACGGTAGTCCGCAATTTGTATGCCCTTCGAAGGAACAAGTTGGGTTTTTTAAGTCAAGCAATCAATAATTAAACCGCGATAAATTACGATCTTATGTGAAATTTCATTAAAAATTTGAGTGATAAAAATTGCGTTTGGGCGGCAAAATAATTGAAAAAATTGCAGTTATAGACCTATTGGCGCCAAAATTGGAGAGATTTTCTTGTTAGTTAGCGTCAGTTATTTACCACTCTTTAGAAAAGGTGCTCATTTTTTTTCGAAATTTTTCCGCTTTTTTCGGCACTGCTGTACTTTGGCACTGTTAAACGTCGCCCAACTAACTAACCCGTCTCAATGTTAATTTAAAATACATCCCTATAAACGAAATAATCATTCTGAGCCACGTCTAATAAAGGCGAAGCATTAATTCATTTGTCAAGAAAGTACTTAAGTTTTTCCGGATCCGTAAGGTTCTAATTCCGGTTTAAGTTTTGTCTGATTTTTCTGACCAAAAAACATAGAATATCATCTGAACAAAGTATCGGTACAAAATTGATCAAGAACTTAGATCAAGATAAACGTGCTCATCGAAAAAATGCAAGTTTTGGTCAAATAATTTTACCTGTTTATTTTTAGCCGTCATTTTTAGCCGTCAATGTATAACGTCATTTTTAGCCTGTTTTTTTCAGTTTTGCCTGTGGCGTAGAAAATTGTTGACAAAACAGGTTCCTTATTTTTTTTTCGGAGAGCTCGGGAAAAAATTTGTCGACAAAAAAAAGGTTGGCAAAGTTTTCAAATTTTATTTTTTTGAAAAACCGGCATTCACTTACGCTAGAACACATCGAAACGAAACAAATCATGATAGTTGATAACTTCAAGTCTGGTCAAAAATGGGCAATGCTCAACCTAATGGGTCGAACAAAGCCATCCCTTGGTCCCTAAAATTCTTCGAAAGAGAAAAAACTTCCATTTTTTTAAATAGGACTGAGTCTAGGTCATTTTTTTTTCGCGTCACTTATTATATGATGGCAACTGTTTCTAGCTGATGACCCTTCACACCCAGTTCAATTTCGACTACTGGTCACAACTCATGCAAGCACCAAGTGCACTAATAGGCATGGTCAGACACCCCCTTGACCAGTTCTCGTCCTTTTTCAACTACTACGACATGGAAGAATCTTTGAGAGAAGGGTTTCCTTTGCTAGATGAGGCCTCAAGCACTTTCGATTTTTTCCTCAAACACTCACAACAATTGACAGTTGGGGCATGGAAAAGACAATGGAGCAGTCAGGTCTGGGTTCAAAAATTATGGTTTTTAACAACCATAGGATAACTTAGGGTTAGAAATAACATTCCCCTCTAAATACATTACATTTGGTTTGAAACTGCTTAGCGCTGCGTAAACATACACGGTTCCCATTGACTGAAAATTCCAATTTAGAATCAAGTTGACATGGTCCTCCACTCATCAACGCTTCAGAGGGAGTATGTTAACTTGGTCTTAGTTTTTTAACCATTTTTTGAGACACTACTTGGCGTTACTGATAAAATGATTTCGTATTTCACTCCTTAACCTCTCAATGTCTCTACTTAAGGCTATTAGTTTTGCAAAACAGCTTGGGAGAGCTCTGCATCTTTAAGTTTAAGTAATTTATTATGACTTCCTTCACAAAATTTTGTGACAACAGCGATCGATTATACTTATCAAAAACGTTTAGGGTGAATGAAATGAAAATTGATTATATTTGTGATATATGAAGGTGATCGATTAGAATTGTGATCAATTAAAGCTGCCATGTTTTCACAACTATAGTGCTGATAAAAATTATCCGGACGAAAAGAACGAGACTTGAAATTTGAAAAGCGTTGATTATATTTGTGATATATGAAGGGGATCGATTAGAATTGTGATCAATTGAAGCTGCCATGTTTTCACAACTATAGTGCTGATAAAAATTATCCGGACGAAAAGAACAAGACTTGAAATTTGAAAAGCGTTGATTATATTTGTGATATATAAAGGTGATCGATTAGAATTGTGATCAATTAAAGCTGCCATGTTTTCACAACTACAGTGCTGATATAAATTATCCGGACGAAAAGAACAAGACTTGAAATTTGAAAAGCGTTTTTTTAAATGTGTTGTTTTTAGGTGAAAAACAAGGAGAACAAAAGTGCTGAGAATTTTTATAAGACTTTATACGTTGCAATTTTGTTGCAAAATTGGGACCCAAAACATTACCTCAAAAACGAATTAATTTTGGCTTTTCAAGTCAATCGAAAAAATACTCCTAAACTACCGAGTCCTTTAGTAACAAAACAATATCAAATTGAGCCTTTTATATAGAAAAAAAAACTAAGAAGGGATAGTCTCACCTCACCCTCATAATTAGATCAAATTAGGACCATTCGATTAAACTATTTCATTTGGATTGAAACTGCTGAGCGCTGCGTATATAGACTTGGTTTCAATGTCTGAAAGCTCAAGATTAGAACCAAGTTATCATCATCCTCCATGGACTTACCTTGACTACGTATTTCCTTCTTTGTTTTTTTTTGTTTCGCTGAAAAATTCCTTGGCCCAATTTAATTCGGTCTATTTTTCATCGGTCTAATGACCTAATCTTAGATCGTTTTAAGGAAAACACAATTTTAACACTTCCGCATTTTTCAAGTTGAATGTACGCTTTTCAATCGGCTTGTTGAAATTTATTTTATCGTTTTGAAAAATGTTTTTACGTTTTGCAAAAATTTTGTTTTGTTCACACACTTCTACTGAGTTTCAAAGAAAGAACCAATTGAAAGAACACCCATTTCCCATCTTAGAATCAATTTTTTTTTGCTGCGCGAATTTTTCTTTAATGTTGCTTTTAGTGTTTGATTTACTCCTACTATAGGTAATTTTACTTACCTTGACTTCGTATTTTCTCCGTAAAAAAATTGTCGGCCCGAATTCTTTCGGCTTTTTTTCGGCCTAATGGCCCAATTTTGAGTCGTTTTAAGGGAGACTCAACTTTAACACTACCCTCCTCTTTTCTCAAGTTGGTTGTTTGTTTAACAATCGGTTTGTTTAGATTTCTTTTTTCGTTTTAGAAAATTATTTCCAAATTTAATGGAACATTTTTAAATTCTCAAAAACTTCTTCTGATTTTCAAAAACAGGGTATCAAATGAAAGACCGCCTTTTCCTTTTTGTGCCTGCTTACTCCTCTAGAGTATTTTCCTAGTTAACCCCTTTGTTTACCGCCTTTGAAAAAGTGTGCGGGAGTTTTTGACCAACATTTTTGATTTTTTTTCGCTTTCTCGATAACTACCCCTCTCAAATCTGAGTTTTTAGTTTAAATCATGATAACTGTTTTAAAAGCTCCACTGCATAACCGGCTATGCCCAATTCTTTTCTTCACAAAAAGTTATGGCCCTCGGATTAGTCCACTTTTTGATTTCTGACGGTTTTGTGTTTCTCTTTGAATTTTCTCGAAAACTAATTTCTCAAATCTGATATTGTGGCTTCAAGGGAGTTAACAGGCACTGGGAAACTCCTTTGCATTAGCGGCCACTCACAAAGTTTTTTTACACAAAAGTTATTGCCCTTGGAAAAGAATTTTGATTTTTGATCTTTTTTCAAACTTTTTGAATATTCTCGAAAACTTCCCTGCCATATCTGATATTTTGGGTTCAATTCAAAGAAGTGGTTGTGAGAAGATCATTTGGTTATGCAAAATTTATGGCACCAAAATTTATGGCCCTTGGGAATTTTTTAAACGAAAACTACCCTCTTCAATCTGACATTTTGGGTTCAATCGAATTTATAGGTTGCTCCAATTCCTTCTGCGCGAGCGGTTCCGCTCTGTTTTTTAGACAAAAATTATGGTTATCGGAAAAGACATTTTTTAAATCATGACCGTTTTTTGGACTTTTTTTCCGTTTCGTTGACCAATTTTTTGGACTTTTCTCGCTAGCTATTCTGCCAAATCTAATATCATAAAATTAATCGAAACATTAGGTTGTTGATAGCCTACGTTTATAAATAGCCAAGCCCAGTTTGTTTTAGAAAAAATTTATGGCCTTCAAACTCGTCAAAATTTTGAAACGTAGACAGTTTTTTGAAAACTTTTCGACTTTACGCGAAAACCATCGTGCCAATTCTCAGGTTATCTTTAATAGAGAAACCCGGTTTTGGGATTTTTCTCTGCACAAGCGGCCACAACCTGCTTTTTGCTGAATCATTTATGGAATTTGGAAAATCTTTCAGAACTTTTGACCGTTTTTTTAGAAATGTTTTGAATTTTCTGAATAATTACCCAATCAAATATCAATCAAATTACAAAATCAGAAGAAAATCTCATTTGAAAAAATCGGTTGCAATAATTGTTCCTACAGAAGCGGCGACTACTTAACTTCTTGTAAGAGAAACGTTATATCTATGGGAAAATTGATTATCTCTAAGTTAGTAGAGAAACAACTAAGGTTTTGAGCAAAGTCCAATTTTTGAAATCACACTTTGGTGCCGCATGAGTATAGAAAATTCAATCAGTATCAAGCACGTACCTCCAGCTTTAGCTGGGCCCGTAGTTAGTTTTTTTTTATCGAGACATACAAAAATTTTGGCTCAACTAGTTTTTTCAACGTTTATTTTTTTCGAATTTCTTATGCTTATGTTATATCGCAAGTGTATATAAATGTGAGTGACTAAGCTGTGATGAAATAAAGCTACCATGTTTCCAAAAGTACAAAGCTGATATAACTTATCCGGACAAAAAAAATTGAAGACTTGACTTTTGAAGGGTGCCGTTTTTCTAAAAATGGGTTTACGTTACGTGAAAAACGATGAAGTTAAAACCTGCTTAGACTTTTAAATGACACAGAGGCGAAACAGAGCTTTGCACCACACAAGCATAACAGTCTAAAAGGAAGAATAGTAAATGAAACGAAAGCCATTAAGTCACAAAAAAGTTGAAAATGCAGGAAAAATACATCCACGAAAACTTGGTACGTTTATTGCGAATGATGTTATAACACGAAGTTCTAAGTGCAAAGGGAAGATGAGATTAAAACAACGCAATAAAGCGATATGCTATAAGCTGAAACCTTTTCAGCAAAAAACAAATACAAATTACATTCGAATCACGGCTAAAAGTGCTCTCAACCCAGGCCTGATGATTATTTATGGTACCTGATTTTGCGTGGAAAGCAAAGAAAAAGAAAAAATTAAAACACCGAATACAAACTTTTAATGGTCGGAACAAAAAAATTTGGCTTGGTAGGTTGGTAATTTTTAGAAATATATCAATTACCTTTTAACTAAATTGAAAATTGCTTAAATCGCAACAAAAATTCCTGGTTGTGGCAACTGAGCCGATAAAGTACAGCCCGCAAACTATTTTCGATTTTTTCGATTTTTTTTTTGAGTTTTTAAAAAAGTTCAGCCTAAAGATGAAGAATTTGGACTGAAAACAAAGGAAAACTTTCAAAAGTACCTAATGACTGTTAGTCAAGTTATATACATGGGAAGTATTTGTTCAGTTTTGATAACGTTTGCTAAATGCTAGCCTAATTACAATTTTTTAAAATTTCTACAGAATCGATTATATATTTGAGAAAAAAAGTGGAAAAACAATAGGTTAAAATGGACTCTTTCAAAGTTTAATAAACACCCATACTAAACTGGTAAAATAATCAAATAATAACGCTGAAACGCGGGTGCAGATCAGCTTTTCTATATCCATTTTTACGGTGCCTGAAAATTTTAAACTTAAATTTACTCTCGATTTGCCAAAATGCATCGTTGTTGGGCTCTCATGACATAAAAACTTTTGCCAAAAAATTTTTTTCCACGAATCCGGAGATCCAATTCTTCAACCTGGAAAAAATATGCAAGGAATCATGTACAATTTTTAATCGATATTTGTCGTGTTTCAGCAAGTTCATCCTGGCAGTCTCAGAGACACTATGTTGTTCGATTACGGAGCGTATCACTCTAAAAACAGAACCAAATTAGCCCAAGATATAGTCCGAAACTTCTCAATTGTTCTAGTTCAAGAGAGATTTGACGAAAGCTTGGTTCTTCTCAAGACTGTGCTGAATTGGGGTTACGAAGACATTTTATATCAGCCCAAGAACGAGGCTGGAAATTACAAAATATCAAGCGAAAACAAAAGAAATGCTTCGCTTTATTTGAATCGATTACATCTGCATATGATTCAGTCACCTCACGATTATACCTTGTACGATTTGAGCATGAAAAATTTTAATCAGCAGATTGCTCTGATTGAAAAGTTTAGCGAAAAAGTTAAAGAGTTTCGACAAATAAACCAGAAAGTTTCAAAATGGTGCTATGAGAGATTGCGACATTTAAACATGCTTCAACAGTTCAGACCCTTGCCGAAGCTGACCCGATACTTGACAATGGTTGGCACCCGTAAACATCAATCAACAACAATGAGCTTCACTTCGGAATTCACGAATGAAATAGTAACAGTCAATGAAGTAAGTTGTTTTAAAATGCAGCTTGATATGTTGGATTTTGTACAATTTCATATTCAAAAATACCATGGTCTAAATTGAAATATCAGAGTAGTTTACTTATTCCACTTGAGCTTTTTAAGTAGGGAATAAAAAGAAGGAGTAGTTAATGATAACAGTAACAAATGACACCCACCGAAAGCTGGTCTGGGCAGAGCTGATACAAAATGAGCTTTCCCAAGCCGGGTTCTTCGTAGATATGCATTTGACGACTTTTAGAATATCTGTTTTTTTGGCTCTCAAAAAGTTAAAGTTATCTTTGATTTAAAGTTATGGTGTTGTAAGCGAATCTAATTTTGGCAATTTTTTATGGAGACAACGACCGATTTTGAACCGGATATTAAGAAGTACAACTTGTTATAAATTGCAATCATTAATGATCAATGGTAAATGTAAATTTTAAAGCAATTTTGCTAGTGGCATTGAAAACCGAGAACGTAAGAGTGTTTTGCTGTTTGTTCTGGAAAAAAAAGGTAAATTATTAAAGGGGCTCTTCCGTTTAGGTACGGACGTGCACAAGCTGGATAGGGCCATACCAGCATTATATAACAGCAAAAAACTCCTTCCTTCTCTGTTTTCTTACCTGCTTGCTGTTTCAAGTACAAAGCTTTCTTTCCTGTGATATTTTTAGGCGAGCTCTATTGTTTGATATATTAAAAATTGAACAAACTAGTGCAGTATTCGCAAACCTCTGTCAAACCAAGATACTTAACTCTGGTAATTACCTTAATTACCTCATTAAAAACAGCTCGGTTACCTTATTTCACACATGCTGTAATTAAAACTTCCATTATTTTCTATTTCGAGCTGAATGAAACGCAAAACGCAGAAAACAACACTATGTAATGAAAGCAGTTGTTCTAATAAAGTATGGCAGTAATAACGGAAGCTATTACTAAACTTTCAAAATCACGCTCTGTCCAGATTTCAAATCCAGGTTTGAGGAAAACCAAATAGTACTCGTTATTCTTTAGCTTGCTCTTATCGATCACAGGTGTCTGCATGTTCCTAGCTCTGATGTTTTCCGTGACAAAAAGAATGTGCAACAATCTGCTTTGAGGCTTGATACTGCTCAAGTTACTTGTAGCGTTGCTTTTAGAAAAATAGAAGAAATAATGTTAATCATTTATAAGAGAAAATACTACAACTATATTTTATGTTTATTGGAAATTGTGATATTTCCTTGAAAATTGCCCGTGATTTGAATGTTACTGGCAAGTTCCATGAAAAACAAACTGAAACCTAAGTGTTACAGAAAAAAATATTCACAACGAAACTAAAAAGATAAAAGACAAATTTTATACGTTTTTTTTTGTTTTTTAAAGATTTTGACAAATTATTCACATTTTTCTTACAATAGGGCAGTAGCAATGGAGCAAAAAAAAATCTGCTATATTCAGAATGCTTACACACAAAGCAAAGCTGCTTGTGGCGAATAAAACTGAAAAAACAGCAAAAAAAAATCAAGAAAATAAAAAGAAATAAATCATGAAAACATCAAAAAAAATTTTTGAAAAAAAAAATTAATATTTATCGGATTTGAATCGAACCTCGCGCATCTAGATTACAATTCAGTTGTCCTCCAATATCCGCCATATGCACTTAAAGTATGTAAACATACTTAAAAAATGGGGGTTCGTAAAATGCTGGCTACTCTTGCTGGCTCACTTGTGTACATAAAGGCTTCCATGGTCTTCTGTTGGGTCGGGGACTTCTGTCGCAACCATTGCGACTCAAAATGGGTATGTTGCGACCATTTGCGACCCAAATCAGGTATGTTACGACCAGTGCGACTCAAAATGGGTATGTTGCAACTTTGCGCAACCGAAGGTTTTTAATGCGAATTTGCGCGACCTAAAAAAGATATGTCGCGATTTGCGCGGCCCGAAAAAGGTATGTTGCAACCATTGCAACTCAAAAAGGGTATTATGCAACTTGTGCGAGTTTGCGCGACTCCAAAAGCTGTCTTATGGTCGAGGTTTACAATTTATGTTTCGACGACTCGGCCAAAAATTGGTATACCGCGACCGTCTCCACTCAAGCTGTCTATGCTTTGACTAAGTTCGACCAAACGAGAACATTTATACCAAATTAGACCAAAAAAAAATATTTCGACCAAGTTCAACAGAGGAAAATATCTCGACTGTGTTAAACCAAGAAAAAACATTTCGACTGAATGGCAGCAAAATGTTTGTTTTTTTTTCCAAAAAAAATAGTTGCTAGTCGTAGCTCCAAGGTACATGGGTTGACCACCATACACCCTAAATGCAAGTCAAACTTTTTCAAACAATTCTTCTATGAAAAAATGCTGGGCATACAAGTCTTTTAGCGAGAATGGTTGTCATACAAATCTCATTTATGAGAACTGTATGTATGATTAGCATGCTTCCATAAAAAAATTGTATGGCCACACTTGAGAATTTAAAAACATATTTCATGCATGAGCATTCGCGAGAAGCTATCGGATTTTAAAATTTGCTAACTTGACTGATTAGTAGAATACTTTACGCGATATATGATTTTTCGATATAAATATAATGCTTACCGAAACAACATGAACTTTTTAAGCGAGACAAATAAATCTACCTTTCACTAATTATTCCGATCTGAGTTAAGAAACGCTTACTGTTAACAACAACTCTCCAATAGTCAAAATTGTATTTTTGTTCCGACTTTCGATACAAAAATAACGGAAGACTTGTGCTCGGGATAGGTTTCGACTTTTTAACTAGCCATTTTTGACGGAATTTTTTATATCATTCGAAAGCTTTTGTTGTTGAATTTGAAAAAATCATTTACCTGTGATCTTTTTTCGTAAAGTTACGGGGGTTTAAAGATTGCCATTTTGGCCAATTAGGGACAATTGACGCGCGATATATTTCGCGCGATTAACGCGTAAGCGGAGATTTAATCCGTCTTAGAAATCGTTCCAACTTGGTTGAAAGAAACTTATTTGCCATAATTGATTGTTACTTGCAGCGAAATGTATTCTTTTGTACTTTATATGGCGTGTGGGTTATTTTCATTAAAAAAGTTCAAATTTCAGAAAAAAAATTTTCATTTTTTTTTTTTTTTACGTTCAAATTTTTTATGTTATTACTGCTCCATAAACCTTAAAAGGCAGTCGGAACATTCAAGGCTTCGTCTTGATACGAGCAGTCTTTTTTGGTTTTTGATTTAGCTAGTGGGGCGGAAAATTTGAACTTTAGTTTTGCTATTACAAAAAGATGACTCTTGTTGTTGTAGGGCATCTGGCACCTCAAGTGCTCCACCAGTTGTATTGCTTGTATACAACTTGCGTGAGTCAAGTCCTGAAATTCTATTTGGTTGAAATGAACTTAATTCCCTAAAAAAGTCGAGTCTAGTTGAATGGAGGTTCCCTGAGACTTCTTGGAATTATCACTTGGTTTTATGTTTACAAATGCCGCTTGCGAATAGACTATACTTTGTTCGCTGCATCAAATTTATTTGTTAGAGTGTTTTTGCTACTTTTGTTCTGAGCTAAGATCTCCCAATAACTGCTCAGCATATTAGCAAGATAGAGTTTAAAAAAACTAAATATAATTTAGTCATTTTCTAATCCTTTTGAGATATAAAAGATCAGTGGTCAAACTAAAATCAGGCGAATGAAACTTCTGAAAAGAAAGATTTAAACAGGAATAATTTTCAACGCGGTAGCTTTGGCTTTTTTTTATGTTATGGCAATCAAGAAAAGCCGATAGAACCAAAAGTTCAAAAACTTTGAGACAAGGTGCTGAATAAAAAAAGCTTCCAAAAAACATCGAAAGTGTTTTCAGCAAACTTTTTTGAAACGCGATTATTTACCAGCAACTGAAACACTTTGAAAACAATTTCAAATGTATGAGAAAAACTCAATTACCACAGCACAAAGTTTGTCCAGATATTGAGTTTTTCTCATATAGTTGAAAAATTTTTCCAAGTTTTTTAGGTATGCGACATAAACAGGCGAATCCGACGTTTTTTTATTCAGCTGAAAAAATTTCTGTTGACAAAAAACAGACCTGGCCTGATTCGAACCGCGGATCTTTGAGGTCTCAGGCGTTTGCATCATATCTACCTCACGTGTGCAAATTAATGCATGGATATTATTTTCATATGAACCGAGTTGTCAGCTGATTCAAGTGCTCTGTTAACTTAGTTGATAACGATAAAAACTATATAATCCAGTTTGATAACCTTGCAAATAATCAGTTTGATAATTATCGGAGTTCCCTTTTTTATACTTCGAGTTCATCTTTCGAACAAGTTATGTGAACATGAGCACCTATTTAGTTCAAGCAAAAATAAAAGCTACTGAAATTTTGTGAGAAAAACCAATTCCTTTTTCGAAAAGAACGTGAGCAATTTTCAGAAATTAAACTTCAAAAAAATTTCTGCAAGGCTATCAAGACAAATTGGGAAACTAAAAGGAGTTTACATCCGTCTTTGATTTCAAAGAGACAAAACTATAACTGCAGTAATATATTTTATGAGATTATTATTGGAACATTTTTTTGATAATTTATTAGGTCAAATGATAATGAACACATTCTCGCAGTGACTATTTCAGCAAAATTTTTGCCAATTTTTTTTCAAAATACAATAAAAAATTTTCAAATTAGAACTCAACCTACAATATTTTCTCAAGTTTCAACATCTAAGTATCATATTGATTTGATTGTACAGTTTTATGAGAAAAACCTAACGAATAAAAACCGATCGAACTTGGAACAAGCAAAGAAGCAAATCAGAAATGGATCCAAGACAAACTTATATTTACGTTAAATTATTTAAAAATATCAAAATTGAGCCGAGTTTTTTTCGCTCTTGACTACTTGGGATTTTAAAAACATGCAGAAATAGAAAAAACTTGATAACTAGTAAGACACTATTGAATAGCATTTCCGGCTGAAATCTCAAGCGTGTAGGATTCTGCCGAGAATTGAATTATTGTTAGCCAGTAGTTGATAGGCGAAACTTTGTTTTTTTTTGAGAAAATTCAACAAAAAGATTTAAAATAGGATTGCCTTTTTACGAATTTCAGATCAAACACAGGGAAAGCGGAGGTTCGCACTAATTGTGATACCAAAACGAATGGATTTGATTACCAGCAATTGAATAGATTAACCAAAAAAATGAAGAAAAAAAAATTGTTAAAAAAGTTATAAGAATTGCAAAAAATGACAAAAAAAATCAAGAAACAAAATTACTTGCATCTCTAAAAACTTATCTTAGAGCAATCAAAATCGAATTTTTTTGGCATCTAAGCCGACAAAAATTAGAAGACACGAAAGTCTTTAATATTCAAAAAGTTTCAGTTTTCACAAAAAACGGTCTTGACTCGAATCGAACTACTGGGGATTTTTTTTGTTTCAAGCATGGGTGTCATCACCGCACCAACTGAACAGAACTCTTCTTGAATTTATACAGAAAACGACTTGCAAAAATTTTTATTGAATGGCAAGAACAAAATCAAAAAAGAGCAAAAAGTAAGCAAACTTCTTGGAGCTCAATTACCCGCCCAAAATCGGAATACACTGAAAAGCTTAAAGTTTAGACAGATTTGGTGCTGCGGCAACTAAGCCGAATAAAACAGACAATCAGAAGTCGGACAAAAATGTTTAAACGCGCGGACAAATTTTGGTTTACCAAAAACAGATCCTGGCCGGATTCAAACCATTGACCTTTTTATTTATAAGCCGGTGCGTTAGTTCTTTACCACATGCCCAAATTAACATCTAACTATTGTTTCATATGAACCATAATATTTCCGTGCACATTAATGGACGCAGCTAAAATCTTAAATTTTAAGTTGAAGTTTTCAAAAAAACTTAAGCTCCGCAAAAATCTTGTAACTCAGTTACCTCAGTCAATGGGGTGTTAGAAATTGCATTCAGATTTTTTGAAGAAAGCTGAACCTTCAAAAAGAGTACGAGTAGCGTTCCTTAAAAAAACGAAAAAAATATCACGATCTGAGTGCCATAACATTTGACCAAAAAATCTACGTCCACCCGCCAACACGTAATTTTAGCGTGAGTGACTTCCTTGAAAAACAAACGCAAAAAGCTGATCTTTCTCAGTGAATTTCTGTTGACAAAAAACAGACCTGGCCTGATTCGAACCGCGGATCTTTGAGGTCTCAGGCGTTTGCATCATATCTACCTCACGTGTGCAAATTAATGCATGGATATTATTTTCATATGAACCGAGTTGTCAACTGATTCAAGTGCTCTGTTAACTTAGTTGATAACGATAAAAACTATATAATCCAGTTTGATAACCTTGCAAATAATCAGTTTGATAATTATCGGAGTTCCCTTTTTTATACTTCGAGTTCATCTTTCGAACAAGTTATGTGAACATGAGCACCTATTTAGTTCAAGCAAAAATAAAAGCTACTGAAATTTTGTGAGAAAAACCAATTCCTTTTTCGAAAAGAACGTGAGCAATTTTCAGAAATTAAACTTCAAAAAAATTTCTGCAAGGCTATCAAGACAAATTGGGAAACTAAAAGGAGTTTACATCCGTCTTTGATTTCAAAGAGACAAAACTATAACTGCAGTAATATATTTTATGAGATTATTATTGGAGTATTTTTTTGATAATTTATTAGGTCAAATGATAATGAACACATTCTCGCAGTGACTATTTCAGCAAAATTTTTGCCAATTTTTTTTCAAAATACAATAAAAAATTTTCAAATTAGAACTCAACCTACAATATTTTCTCAAGTTTCAACATCTAAGTATCATATTGATTTGATTGTACAGTTTTATGAGAGAAACCTAACGAATAAAAACCGATCGAACTTGGAACAAGCAAAGACGCAAATCAGAAATGGATCCAAGACAAACTTATATTTACGTTAAATTATTTAAAAATATCAAAATTGAGCCGAGTTTTTTTCGCTCTTGACTACTTGGGATTTTAAAAACATGCAGAAATAGAAAAAACTTGATAACTAGTAAGACACTATTGAATAACATTTCCGGCTGAAATCTCAAGCGTGTAGGATTCTGCCGAGAATTGAATTATTGTTAGCCAGTAGTTGATAGGCGAAACTTTGTTTTTTTTTTGAGAAAATTCAACAAAAAGATTTAAAATAGGATTGCCTTTTTACGAATTTCAGATCAAACACAGGGAAAGCGGAGGTTCGCACTAATTGTGATACCAAAACGAATGGATTTGATTACCAGCAATTGAATAGATTAACCAAAAAAATGAAGAAAAAAAAATTGTTAGAAAAGTTATAAGAATTGCAAAAAATGACAAAAAAAATCAAGAAACAAAATTACTTGCATCTCTAAAAACTTATCTTAGAGCAATCAAAATCGAATTTTTTTGGCATCTAAGCCGACAAAAATTAGAAGACACGAAAGTCTTTAATATTCAAAAAGTTTCAGTTTTCACAAAAAACGGTCTTGACTCGAATCGAACTACTGGGGATTTTTTTTTGTTTCAAGCATGGGTGTCATCACCGCACCAACTGAACAGAACTCTTCTTGAATTTATACAGAAAACGACTTGCAAAAATTTTTATTGAATGGCAAGAACAAAATCAAAAAAGAGCAAAAAGTAAGCAAACTTCTTGGAGCTCAATTACTCGCCCAAAATCGGAATACACTGAAAAGCTTAAAGTTTAGACAGATTTGGTGCTGCGGCAACTAAGCCGAATAAAACAGACAATCAGAAGTCGGACAAAAATGTTTAAACGGGCGGACAAATTTTGGTTTACCAAAAACAGATCCTGGCCGGATTCAAACCATTGACCTTTTTATTTATAAGCCGGTGCGTTAGTTCTTTACCACATGCCCAAATTAACATCTAACTATTGTTTCATATGAACCATAATATTTCCGTGCACATTAATGGACGCAGCTAAAATCTTAAATTTTAAGTTGAAGTTTTCAAAAAAACTTAAACTCCGCAAAAATCTTGTAACTCAGTTACCTCAGTCAATGGGGTGTTAGAAATTGCATTCAGATTTTTTGAAGAAAGCTGAACCTTCAAAAAGAGTACGAGTAGCGTTCCTTAAAAAAAAACGAAAAAAATATCACGATCTGAGTGCCATAACATTTGACCAAAAAATCTACGTCCACCCGCCAACACGTAATTTTAGCGTGAGTGACTTCCTTGAAAAACAAACGCAAAAAGCTGATCTTTCTCAGTGAAAATTAACTTCGTTCATTAACTATTGTTTTTATTAAAACATACCCAGTTCATTTTGAAAATCTTATCTATAATTTATATCATTGTCTGTCTTCCAAGTTAATCCGCAGCATTTGAAGTTTTGATTAAAGTCCGCTTTGCCTGGTTAATGTTTGCACCTTTCTTAAAGTTTCTAGAGATTCTCATTTCCAGATCATTCATCAACGACATAGAGAACAAAAAAAGAAGATGCTTATACTTTGATGACAACTATTAATTTTATAGGATATCTTTCTGTGCTGACAAATGCTGTCTCACTCCCAAGCAACAAGCAGGGAATGCCACGACTTCTGACTTTGTCACTTCGCCGCTCTCCTTATTTTTTTTGATCAGCTGTATTATTATGGAAAATCTTTTTAAGTCTGCCGAATTACGGTTTTTGGTGCCATGGCTCCAAGCTCATACTTAGTGAAAAACTGTCAACAGAACTCTTAAATAGATGAATTCAATTAAATAAAATCAACTTTCATATACATATATGCCACCGAAGAGTAATATGAATTTTAATTAACACGGTAATACTAGAAAATAATATTCAACAATTCTGTTTTTTATTCATATAAATCTGGGTCAATTAGAGCTACATATATTACACATGCAGGCACAACGGAATTTGATACCTGAATTTTATCAACAGCTTTAGATGGACAACAATTCAAATTACTAATCTCGTATTACAACGAAGGAACCCTCGTACCAATGCATTGAACGAACATCAATTTAGAGCATCAAATTTTGACCCTGAATTGGTCTGTTGGAGTAATCATGCAACTGTTATAACGTGAAAACAAAACACATTGAGTCTCATAAACAAACTGAACGAACTCTTAATAACGTCACAAATGATGATTGAAGCAGTGTAATTATTTGATCTACTTTGAAGCGATGGATTGCGACTTGCTTTCGCGTAGTTAGTTGTCTAACACAAACGAAGTTCATCAAGTCTCTCGACTTACTACAACACTGATTGCATAAAGTAGGCAACGCTTTTCAGTAATCAATCTAGCACATAAAGGAAAAGGAAATAAACAAACGTCTGGTCTTAACTTGTGAAATAAGAGTTAACTTTCAACCATGATTTTTTTTTCACATTGAACAAGGATAATGATGTTTTTGTGTTAATCTAAATTTAAACTATGATTGAAACTAAATTATCAATAAACACTGCTGAAAACAAGAGATAAGAGATATCAAACAAAGTTCGACACGAAACTGAAACCAAAACCAACCGTTCGTTTGATGTTGATCAAGATTCAAGTTTGAGAGCTCTTTTAAGGCCAAGCCAGTAGATGGAAAAATGCAACATTGAGGATATTAGTAATTGTAGTTCGTAAAAGCATAAAACTTTAGCCATAAAAAGGACGAATCTGCACATTTATACTTGAAAGCCGAAATTAAATGGAATTTATAGGACTTCATTTTACAGTTAGTTCTTCCTCAGAAAAGCAACGCTGATGTAAATCGTCGCGCAGGTCATTTTTGTCAAACAAGTTGTAATGGTTCTGCAAGTTGTAGTGGTGCTGATATCGTTCTTCTTCCAATTTGTTTTTTTTCTGTGCTCAGCAACACCCGCTCGACTGAGGTCTGTTTGGGTTGGCTCCGGGGTTAGGATTTAGCTGCGGTCCTATTTTGATTCCATTGGCCTGAAAAACACATTCAATAAACGTCTATCAAACCGAAATTAACTATTCATCCTAAGGCAAATGAAAAACAGTTAAAATCATGTATGCAGGGGTGGATTGGGTTGGGGAATGGGGAGGGGCCGACGCCTTACTCCTCCCCCCTCCCCCTCAGGGATTCGACCCCCTGCCGACCCGAAGGGCCCCCTTTGTACTGTGTTGAGATATCCATTTTTGGTGACGGACATTTAAAAAATACTAATATTTAGATCTCTATCCATTTTTGGCGACGGACCTTAAATATATACATTCGGCTCCAACGTATACTAATTTTGAGAAGGGAGCCTAAAAACGCCTTTTTTGGCCTGTTTTTCTAAATTTGGCCAAAACAGGGTCTTTTTAGTAGTTTGCGAGAGTTCGGAAAATCAATTTGCTCGACCTAAAAAAAATGTAGACAAAATTTTTTGAAAACACGCCCTCCCCACTCAAGAAAATTCTAGATCCGCCCCTGTACATAAGCAACAAACAATTTCTGAGATGAAATATATCACGTTAAAAATTTCAATTATCTTTTATGATTGGCACTATTCTAATGCTATGTTTGTCTGGTATTGCAGAGCTTCGCACCAATTGCGATACCAAACAAACATAGCATTTAAAGCTAGCAGACAAAAAATTTTCCCAACACCACTAAGAAAAAATCTTCTCTCACAAAACTTTTATCTCATAGGACGTTCACTTGAAAAAATTACTTTTTCAGCTATTGAATTTCAGAGAAAAAAAGCCAACAGACACTTGGAAAAGAGTCAAGGAACGCCAGTTAACGGCTCACATTAGCATACACGAGGTTGGAAAATGTTAAGGAACAAGGAAACCAAAAACTAATTGATTGTATATTTTTGAGCATAGCTAACAGACAGTTGGAAAAGAGTAAATGAACGCAAGTAAACAGAAACACAACTCAAGTTTACAATTTCAGAGAAAAAAATAGAGCACCTTAAATTTCTAGACCAATTTAAGATTGACACTTTCGTGATTAAATTAAAGTTGAGAACACTATCAATAGGTAAATTTTTTATTCCGCTAGGAAATGTAAAAATTAAATTCCACTTTCGAACTAGAATTCGATCACCTTATTCATGAACTTGACTTTTTTTTGCTGTTCGATAGTAGAGTTTGCGTTCCGTAACAAAGGAAAGAACTGAACTTCAAAAAATCATAATTCAAACCGCAAAAAGTAAATGTGAGCCTGAACAAAATAATAGACTTTTCAAATTTGACATTGAAATTGACACATTTTTGATTGACATTGACACATTTTTTATTGAATTAACCAAATGGCAGAAAACTAAATACGTAATTTTATCATTCTGTTGGGAAAATATTTAAACCCACTCATGGCTCGAAGTAAAGTGTTGTTTTAGTCCACTTTTATTATTACGACACCAAACTACACTGGATAGGCGCACAATTTTGTGTCTACATGTTTCCAGATTCCAGAGACATGTCTTTAAACATGTTCCAAAATGTTAAACATGTTCCAAAATGTAAGTTGTTATGGTTTTCTCAAATGAAAGTGGATTCCGCAAAAGTAGATTCTCACAATTTGTTGATTCGGCTTACAATTTGCGGATTCCACTTACTGTTGCGGATTCCCCATCAGCTTAAAATTACTAAACACGGATATTATTATTATTAATTGGTTATGGATTTCACAAACTGATCCGGATTCCAAAATTTTGTTGCGGACTCCACAAATTTTGTTACGGCTTCCGCAAAATTGCTTGTTTTTGGAGCAATTTTGAGTAATACAGTGCTTTGGTTTTCTGTCCGTGAAATCCAAAACAGTAAAGAAGCAAACAAAAATAGCAAGAGGTAGCGGATTCCGCAACAAATATATTTTTTCCCTGTAGCAAAATCCGCTTACAATTAACAAATTGAACAAGTTGGCATCGTAGTAATTTTAAAGGCTTTCTTGTGAGAGTCAACCGCGCTTGTATCGGACAATTTAATTTGACTTCTATTTCAAAAATGTATTTCAATAGATTTTTGAAACCTTAATCAACACTGAAAGGGCTTAAATATGACTAGCGTTTAACGCACCTCCGGTGCTTCGAAATTTTTCGACAACTCATGAAAAACCGCATATATTGGAAACAACATCTGCAAACTTTTAGTGAACTCTGACTGCACCCAATTACATGGTTTGTAATTTCGAACTTTTTAATTTTTTCTCATTTTAAAAGCGTCATCTCGGAAAATTAATGGGCCTCTGCAGAAATTTGGAGGCCAGATTTGCAACCACTGAGAGTCCCTGAGAGCGCCCTACTATAGGGTTAGGAAATCAAAATTTTGTGATTTTTTTAACCTAAGTTTCCCAAAAAAAAAATTGAAAAAAAAAATGTCTTATCTCGGAAACTAAAAGGATTTGAGCATTCATATTAAGAGGCAAGATTTGAGACGCCAGGGTTTACGCTGACAATAAGGTTGTATTCTAGTTGGTACTTTCAAATTTTTTAAATTTCTTTGTAGATAAGTTCTTTGAGAAATTTTGAAAAAATCAAAATGCAGAAATTACAAACAATTACCACATAAAAGAACTTTCAGAAAATCTGAGAAAACTCTGAAAACCTAATAAAATAACGCAATTACATCAAAAATTATCAGTTATGGTATTTGAGCTATATCACAACAAAAAAACATAAAAAAGCCCAAAGTGGAAATACAAAACTTCAGCCAGAAAGAACCACACGCCAAAATCTCGTCCAAAACTTGCCACGGCATTCCTTTGTAGACAAAAAAGCAGAGTGAAATTTGCAAAAAAAAATCTGGAAATTTATCAACTTGAATTGATTTCAAATAAAACTGCTTAAAACTAAAATACACCTAACTAATTAAAACTAAAACTAGTTTCACGCACTTTTAGAAGCAAAAAAATCATAAACCATGCATCCGAAAAAGTGAAAATTTATTTGTAAAAAAGTTTGTAGCAAGAAAATTTATAACAGCTTTATTGCTAAGAGAAAGTTTTGGCGGCTACTAAAAAACCAGAAAAACATGAACTATTTTTACTCTCATAAAAATGAAGAAAGAATCAAAAAATCTACAATTAATTACCCGGCAAGTACGCCGACAAAAATTGGGTCGAAATCAAAAAAGACGACAAAAAATCAACTTACATCTTAAAAACTTTTTCAGCTGCAAAACAATTATCACTTTAGTCGTTGCAGCCAGCTTTTGAATTATAGCTATAAGACGTGCTTCTTGAATAGAAATAGATGTACATTTGGAGATGTGGACAAAGTTGTTTACGGAAAATAAGTCTAGTTCCCGATTGTAATCTCCTTGCTTATCGCAAGGGTGATCAATGTTTCTAACATAGCCAGCTGACTGTTTGAAAAGAGTTATGTACGCAAGAAAAATATTTAAAAAAACTGGCATGTTTTTTTTTTAAAAACCTTCAACTTCTGAATTTCGAAGAAAAAATAGATGACCTTAAAGCTCTTTGAAAGTGTAGAACAATTTATGATGGACACTTTTTAGTTAAAACTAACCCAATTTGAGAAAACTGGATCAATAGGTAAAACTTTCACTTTGCTGAAAAATCTGATAATTGATTTCCATTTACAAAATTAAAAGTCGATCAAGTTTTTTGTGAACTTTACACTTTTGCTGTTCGATAAAGGAGTTTGTCTTCCTTTTAACAATGAAAACGTACTGAACTTAAAAAAAATCACAAGTCAAACCGCAAAAAATTAAAATTCAGCGAGAACAAATTTTACACAGAGGCAAAGTTGCACTTCGCATACATAAGCAAAAATATGACCGATAACGCTACTGGGAAAAAGTGAATGAGTAAAACTTTGAAACTACAGAATTCCTTCAGTGACGCACGCTAATTATGAGTCTACATAACTACTTTGTAACGCAAGCCAATTATGACGCATTAGTAGTAACAGTCAGTTCGAAAAAAAAAATTACCAACTAACATGCCTCAATTTATAGAGCGAACGCATTTTAACTAGTATACGAAAAAGTTCATTAAAAACATCCGACCCGGCCCAGGTTCAAACCCTCTTATTTTGTTGCGGGTCTCCTTCCCTACCTCTACGCTACAGGTCCATCATAACTTGAAGCTAAAATGCTATTTGTAATATAATAGTCTGTGTTAGCATTGTCTGTACTTAAAAGCTGATTATTGATCAAAATTAACACATTTTGTCGTAACAATATTTGCGACTTAGATTGGGAAAAAAAGAGAGTTCATACTATCACACAATCTTTGCTAGTGTAAAGACTTTATTCTGAAAAAAAAATCACCAGGACCTATAAAAACGTTCTGACTACGTTCATTATTCTTCAAAAGAACATTAGTCGTCGTGCATAAGTAATAAGGATTTAGCAGATTATAAAAACCTCTTAACCAAGAGAACACAAGTTGTACAGAGCATTTGGTATGGTGAATTAAAGTCACATATAATTATTAAGCGAATTGAAACTGACCTCGTTGTTGATGTCGAATACACCCTCTTGTATCTTCTGGTAGATCTCCTTGGCCGTGTTGATGAACGCCTCCTCCACATTGGCGGCCGTCTTGGCCGATGTCTCCATGAATACCAGGCCATGTTCCCGGGCAAAACTCTCCCCCTCTTCCTTCTTTACGTCCCTCCGAGATTCCAGGTCACTAAAAAGAAGCAGCCACGTCCCCAATTGGAAATCACTACTGAGATACTTCACTTTTGCGTCTCAAATAGAAACCTTGAAACACTTTGAAATCACTACTGTAATACTTCTTTTTTGCGTCTCAAATGGAAAAAAGAACGGTCCCGTTTCTGGTCTGGCAAACCTGACGCTACGAGCATAGATCATGATGGCATGATAATGATTTAAAAAATTATGCACGAGACCAAAAAGAAATTTTATTCATGCGCCTTTGACGCCAAAATATATACTAATTTTGAGAGGGGGAATCAAAACCTCCCAAAAATGCTCAAAAATGACACTTCTCATCGAAAAGAAAATTGCTCATCGATTCAGAAAATTTTGCCAAATGTGATCAATCTGGGGTTTTGGCAGAGCTAAAAAAAATAAACAATTGATCTAACAAAGAAAAACCCAATCTGCCAAAAATTCCTGTGCGAGCCACTCAGCAAGATATTTACCTTTTATTGCCAATTAGCATGATGACCATGTTTGAACTAGTGTGTTGTCTAAGGTCATCTAGCCACTGCGTCAAGTGATTGAAGGTGTCTCGTCTGAAAGATATTTTCACATAACATGATTTTCCAAAAGAGTCCGTTTCATTACCAATTCCATGCTTTTATTTACCCTTCACCCTGCATAAAATTGATTACACCAGTCAAACAAGAGTAGAATCGCTCCTGGCGTTCCTGAAATTAATTTAAACTTCCTCCTCGCAAAATTAAAGCCTTTCCTCCCATGTTACCTTCTTTTTGTCTCAGCTGCGTTTGTATTTTGAAGGAGAATAGCACGAATTGTGAAAATTAAATCAATGGTACCTGTCCCTCCTCCAAGTTTGTTTTTCCTCGAGGAAATTGACGAGAAATTCATCGAGGATATTTGTACAATAAACAGTAGAAATTCCAACCCCGTAACATTAAAGATACTATTATATATAGCAATGGGTTGGATTGTGGACTTCAGAGAATGATGATTAAATGTTACACGTTATTTAGCCAAAATACTAACAAGACACCAATTAAAAGACGCCGGAAACGTTTTAAACATTCGCATAGAAGTTGTAATACTTTTTTCAAATACCAAAAACTTCCTTCAAAGCTGTTTGTTTCTTGATGTTCTCTGCCCATTTTCGGCTCAATTTAAATCGACTGGTAGTTCTCTTCAATCTGTTTTAATAATTTTTACTTGCTACCTACTTGGCAGCAATCAAAAATACACTTCAAAGACACTCTAAAAACATATGACTTTTGCGCCCTCTCTTACCCATGGCCCCGATACATTTTGTACATGTAATAACTACCATATATTATGTCTTTGTTGAAGCGATAAAGCATTCTTTTGTTAGCTCAATTTATGGGGAGAGATGCGACCATTCTGCTCAGATGTTGTGCATTATAAAAACGGAGGGGATGGGTAGTGTGATTATTAGCTTTTTCATTCTTTTTCTCTCAATTTTTAGTTTTCAGCAGTGAGATTATTGTTCAGCTGACAGATATTTTACCAGCTTCAAGTTCACAACAACGGTCTAATATAACCACATTTACTGGTAATAAACATTTATTTTTTAATTTTCTTTACGATGCTTCAAAAAAGATGGGGTCTTGTCTATTATACGGCCCAAAATTGATCGTAACAATATGTGGAAAAATTTACCATAATGCTCAAATCTGATTGGTTACAATAAGTCTAGCGAAAAGGAAACTAGAATTTCATAGCAAAAAACAAGCTCAATTAACAATTTCGTAATTTTGGGCCGTACAACGGAAAAGATGTGCGTGAATTGATTTGACCTGGTGATGTCGTATACAAGGAGAGCCCCAGCAGCGCCTCTGTAGTAGGAGCGAGTGATGGAGCGGAAAGCTTCCTGTCCCGCCTGCCAACAATCAACACAGAACCCTCAGCCCACAATACAAGAGAAAATAACAACTAGGAAAACATAAACAAAGCGATTAGCCTTTGGCAAAAGTGGCATTGAGCTAAGGACGATTAGATATTGAAAGGCTGATTTAAATACTACTAAGCCACTTCAGAAAAAGTTAAGCTCCCGTTTAACTTCACTTAGGAAAGACATAGATCATTTAACCCATTTCTTTTCTCATAAGTTCATTTGTACAGATTACCAACACCGCAATAGGAACGTTTGAAAGATGAGATGTTTATCTATTTGGTAAGCAGTTGTAACTGTGACCCTTTTCTGTGATAAGTCATGCAATGCTCAACTTTTGCTTCTAATTATCTTCTGGTATGCATACATGTAATTGTCTTTAACTGAGACTAACCCATCAAACAGTCACAAATTCAACAAAATTGCTATTTCTGAAAAAAGAGCCCAATATCCAAGTTTACATTCACTAATCTGGCTTTACCGGGTTATGTCATAAACTAGAAGCGCACCGGCGGCTCCTCTGTAATACGAGCGCGTTATAGACCGGAAAGATTCTTGACCAGCCTAAAAAGAAAAACCCATTGCGTTCTAATTATAAAAACAATTCAGGAAAATCGTGATGGCTACTCTGAATACGTTTTCAATTTGACGTTTCATTTAAAAATCATCTAATATTTAATTTTCCTGGCCTACTCTACTTATCCGCATCGCGTTATTTCAACCGCATATGTATCTATATGTCAAGTTTTGTAATGCTGAATCATGCCAACAACGCATGTTAAACTTGAGCAACACTGTATTCAATTACTGTAAGCAACACAATTTTTTGAGCATGAATTGTTCCATTTAGCCGCCGGCGAGCAAGAGCCGTTGTATAGATTAAACGTTGGAGATCCACAGCTGTCGCATATTAATTTTGTTTCTTTTTCCCAGATAATTTCAATAGATCTCACATTAACTTGATCGCTAATTAATTTTTCCAGGAAGTACGCAAAACATTATTCGAATGAAAAAATTTCTTGTGAGCACTTGCGGATCTAAGATTTTCTCGAGAGAGGGGGGGGGGGGGGGGGGGGGTGATGATGGTTGGAATTTCAAAAAAAATGATGAATTTTTTTAGGCGACCAAATTTGTTTTCCAAGCTCACCCTCAAAATTAGTATTTATTATTGCGCCGAAGGCGCCTTCAAAATTTTTTTTAGGGTCGGTCGGCCAAAAATGGATGCCTTAAAATAGTACTAGAGGGGGTTTAAGTACCTTTGTGTGGGTGAGCGGTTTCGAATTCCTGACTCAACATAACCTTTCAACGTAACCTCACATTTTCCCCAAATAACACGTCAAAAAGTCAATTGACGAGAGAGCATTTTTGGATACTCATGCGTACTGAGGCTGCGGTTAATTATAACCTCAAATTAGCTGTAAAATATCCACTGAAACATTTTGCAGGCTTTCTGATTCTTCAAGTTTGCAATTATTTTCTTTATTACTAGTTTCTGTCATATCCCGAGATAGATATATTTTGCACCACTTGCGATACAACACAAACATAAAAAAACCGTAAGTCGGAAAAAAAGAAAAATGTTGATAAAAAGTGGGAGAACCGCAATTTTCGTAAAACTAAATGAAAAACACCTAGGGACCAGCTGAATCAGGAAGTACGGGTTTGATATTTTTTGAATTTGCTATAGTGATGCGGAACGAAATGCGTCATCCCAAAAACTGGACTTTGTCCAAAACCTTAGTTTGAAGAAGAGCGATAACTTTTGAGATTTTGGAAATTTCCCATGCTATCCCTATCCCCTGCTTTTCCCATGCTACTCGCTATCCCCATTGAGCCCACAAACTCATTTTTAGGAGGTTAGTTTTCGAGACAGGTCAAAAAAATTCAAAACACGGTCAGAATCATCATAACCTCCACTCTTCAGAGGGCCATAATTTAATGTCTAAAAAAAATTATGGGCGTAGCCGCTTCAGGAAAGAAGCTTTCCCAATCCGCTCTAATCAATGGGGCAAAAATTTTTACGTGTAAAAACGCCCATAAATTTATGTGAAAATTTATGGGCATAGTCGCTTCGGGAGTGAAGCTTTCCCAATCCGCTCTAGTCAATGAAGCAAAAATCTCAGATTTGGTAGGTTAGGTTATGAGAAAACGAAAAAAAACATCGGTAAAACATTCACCACACAGACTTTTTCAAAGCCTGTGGACAAAGTGGTGGAGGTATAAGAGACCAGGAAATGATGCAGGCACACAAGGATGTAGGCGGTCCTTCTATGGACACCTGTTTTTCGAAAATCGATAGAGTCTCGCATATGAGAGGGTATTTTTAGATAAAATTCATAAAAAATATATATCATAGAATCCAGAAATTGACTTCTCCGAGGACACTAACTTTTTGTAACAAAAAAGCGAGTGCCCGCTAATGCAGGGGAGCTTCCCACAACTCGTTATCACCATTGAACCCAAAAACTCAGGTTTGGAAGGTTAGTTTACGAGAAAGGTCAAAAGGATTCAAAAAACGGTTAAAAAAATGAAAAAATTCACTTTTCCGAGGGCCACAATTTTGTGTAAAAAAATTTGTGCGTATCCACTTCAGGAGTTGAACTTTCCGAATTCGCTCTATTCAATGAAGCAAAAAGTTCAAATCTCAGATTTGTAGGTTATGACAAAACGAAAAAAAAAAATCGGTTAAATATTCACCACACAGACTTTTTCTAAGGCTGTAGACAAAGATGTGGAGGTAAAATAGACCAGGGGAGTATGCAAGCACACAAGGCGGTCTTTTTTGGATACCCGTTTCTGTTGAAAATCGCTAGAACTTAATTTTTTTGCGAAAGGTGATGAAATTTTCCAAAGCGTCTCAAAAAAAATAAAAACCATTCAATTAATTATCATCATACCTGTTCTATGAAACAGGAACTCTAGGCAAACACGCCAGGCAATACAGTTGAAATTCAAATTAGCAACTAATCAAACTTAAAAATCGGAAACAAAGCGGACAGTTTTCAAGGTACCAGTTGAGCCGATTTTTTCCAAAAAAAACTTTAATAAGTTTCAAGGCCCCCCTGAAACTACCCTGTAGTAACTAGTGCCCACTCAGTAGTTAAATTTGCATTTTCATAATTGAGCATGTCAGTTGCATAGATGCATCTAAGTGTTTTAACTCATTTTGTTAAAATAGTTGTTAAACCCAAAAACAATCTATATACCGATTTGATAAACGGAAAATATTCAAAATCTTGGAACTCAGTTATTTGCACCATTGCAGATGACAGATGCTATTCCCAGAAAATATGAAATAGCTGAAATTTAAAAAAAATAGAGCTGCGAGGGTTAAGAAAAAAAACAGGAGACACGATAGGCCGAAAGTAGGATTTTTAAAATGCAGAAATTTGCTTCTTGTTCAAACCGGCTCTCAGTAATGGCCTTCTGTGGCTTCGAGTAAACTGAGGACCTGTTCCTACCGGACTAGTACCAGGCCGTCTTCAACCGAAGCACGGGCGTTACATAAACGAAAACTCTATTCGCTAATTAAAACTTTTAACAGTTGAGCCACTCTATGAATTTATTTCTTTTTATAGTTAATGCCGAAATTTTGGCAATATCTTTTCGGTCAACGAATCTCAACGAAGTTGATTAACCTAAAACTACTCATTTTGACGTCGGATTAGTTTTTCACTGACTTCCACACGTGAAAATTGTATCCAAAAAACTATTTAGCCTAAAAATCTATATTTTGACCATTCAAATTAAGTCACCGATATTGCCAACAATTTGGCATTAACTATAATTTCAATGTTTTCAAGGTAAAATATTGTTTAAAAAAACAGAGCGAAGTTTAAACATTGATATTCTTTTTCTGTATGTCCATAATTTGAGCACACGCGCTCGGAAAACATATTCAAACGAGTGATCAAACGCAAAGAAAAAACATCAAATGACCTAAGGAACTTGTTTTTAAAATCCTTTAAATTAACTCAATTTTCTCTTTTGCGGTTCTTGCCTTTTGCTGAGAAGTCACATCAATCTGATTTCAAAATAAAATTCATTGCAAATAAACTATGCCGGACCCTAGAGAAAAATTCGCTAAAACCAGGCCGTCTTAGTACTCACGACATCAACATCAGTACTCACGGTGTCCCAAATTTGCAGTTTAATTTGCTTGCCATCGATACTGATCATTCGGGCTCCAAACTCAACGCCTGAAATAAGGCAAACAGTTCAACTTTGCTTGGGTTAAGGAACACGGAAAAGTTTTTACCACATTGTACCTATTGTGAGATCATGTACAGGCTGGAAGCGCTTGTCGGTAAACTGTAATAGTAAACAAGACTTTCCAACACCTGAAAAATAAAGCAAAATAGTCAGTTACAAGTCATAAATGACCCCAATTATAATTTCAATCATATATAAGCCTTGCCTGTGTCTCCAATGATAATGTACTTGAACAGATATGCATATGACATTCTGAAAAAAAATTTTCAAAAATACGACACAAAAGTTCAACAGTTTATGATCTCAATGAGAGCATAAACTGCAATGAAATTTGCTTAATTTTTCATATAATGGTAGAAGTTGCAACATAATTTAGGATACTACAAAAAGAAATCTACTCCCTTGAAAAATTGTGAAGAACAGAGTTTTTTTAGTTTATAGTGTAATTTCGTATGTTTAATGCATTTGAGCACCTGCAGTTTACTCGGGGACCAAATTACTTGCAGAGATGCAGCTAAGCGTTCGGCAATTAAGAGAAAATGAACACTTTAATTGCATTTTGAAATTAATTCAAAACAGCAAAAAAATGTCACCCATCTTCGCATCAAAATTTAGTTTAATAGACTACATAAAACAATAACTATCAGGCAAAATGGGGAAAATGAATTAATTTATATCTTTTCCATGAAAGCTTATTAAATCGTTATTGAAGTATTGAAAGACTGGGTAATTAGATTGGATATTCCTTTAAAAAAACTGAAGGGATTTCAGATACCGGCACGAAAAATTCTTATGTTTGCGAGTTCGTTGGAACAAACATTCAAGCTTTTCCGTATTACGAACGCGAACAAATTTTCGGAAGAAACAACACCATCCCACGATTAAGCGTCAACGGAAAATAACTTGAAGAACTTGCAGAAACTCATGAAGAAAGGAAGTCTTCGAAGAGTCCGTTAAATTGTAATCTGGCACGACATAATAAACAGAACAAAAACCGCATCTGGTTTGTTCTGGTACCTATTAAATCATGCTTAATAAATTTTTACGTGGATCATTCAATTTTTGGTTTTCGGTAAAAATTAGAAACCAGAACAAATTTTACAATCTTTCAGAAAGGCTCGAGGTAGACCTTTTACGGTCTAGAAAAAAAATTGCCGAAAGCTTAACACCTCTCAAAAAAGGGTTGGAGCAGTCAACTTATTCCATATAAAGCTGTTTAAAACACATAGGAACTGCTAAAGAACTCGAAAGTAATCATTTGCATCTGAAATGATCTTGCTTAAAGACCCCTCCCAGTTGATCAAAGTAATGAGATAAGCACCTTTATCAGAACCGGAGGAGTACAAGAACAAAGAAGACACCCTTCCCAGCCTAATTAATTTTCATAAAGAACTATAAGACCGCACCGGAAAAACTACTTAAATAATAGACAAGAAATTTACAAATACAGAAGTTTCCCTATAATTCCCAACTTAGAAGTTGCTTCCTTCTCTGAGTGTTAAGTATCTAACTACTCGAAGCCATCAATTTTTGTTTACTCCTCTTTATACCACTCCTCCTGCACTATGTAGTTGCTTGAGATGTTCCTTGCATCTGTCTTGGCCTTGTTTTTTGACCCGCATGGACCACTTTAAGGGAAAAACCCTTTAACCTAGCGAAAGCAAGGGAGGTAGTGAGAAGGGGTATAGATGAGAAGTGGTGGCCTTTGTAATATTGTAATTTGTTATGGCCGATTTTTTCCATGAATTTGGTTTTAGTGCATTGGATTGGAATCGGCAATTATTTGCTGAAGATAAGCTTCAAGGTGTTTGTTTTTGTTTTACATCATGTGACCCTGAATCAATAATAATAATCAGTGTCGTACCTCAGATAATGTTTATTGAAGAAATATCTTCGTATTTAATTAATTGTTGCTTTCAGATTTAATTTATTGCCGAGGCTGTATATTTTACTTATATCTGCAAAAAAGAAATAAATGACTAAAATTAGCTATAATTCAGTGAAAGTGAAGCAATCAAAATTATATGATATCCTGTGCTCATATCGACGGAAAACAAAGCTAGGTTCTAAAACGACTGGCTAGCGTCTAAACACAGCTCTACATGCTTTTTACCGTCTCTTTCAAAGCCAGTTCTTTTGGTGGTCTTTCTAACACCGGGTCGACAAAGACGTTACTGTTTCCGGCTTCGATCAGAACGCTCTAATCAACGTAATTATATGCAAAAATAGTGAGCTCATGGCTGGGTCTCAGTATCCCCAGACCACGAGGTCACTCTTAAAAACAGGGCTACTACTTATTTATTATATTATAGAGAGTTGCAAAAAGTTCGGACAGACAGAATTAATTAAAAAGAGCAATCGTACCATTTTGACAGATTTTTGCATGCAATTTCTTTTTTCATACAAGCTTGAGACACAAAATCGAACTGAAAAATTAGATTTTGCATGCAAAATTTTTCCAAAATAGGTCAATTGCTCTTTTTAATTAATTTTGTCTGTCCGAACTTTTTGCTACTAATTATACTATTATTTTTAATCAGTAGATAAAAATGATCATCTCCATCGAAGATGTGTAACATGTGACATTCGACCAGAATGGCCAAAATGCAGTCTCTGCAGAATTCGGTATTTTAGCAGCAAGCCTTCCGAATTGGCGATTTAGAACGGATAAGGACGTTATTTGAACGATTAGCCAAACGGTGAAGGCTAGAAGATTCTGGAATTCTGATTTTTAAAAATTCGAATTATGACGTCATATTTCTGAGAAACGTCAGAAACGGCCATTTTTAGCTAAAAGAGCAAGAAAAAACAGAACAACTTTTATCTGCGATTACGAACAGTACGAAATCGAGACTAAAAAACTACAACGAACTACCGAACAGCAGAGGACGTTCCGAGTTGCAACTATTGTGCTGTTACAATAGTTGCAAGGCCGTTGCGAGCAACGGTGAAGGGTAAAACCCAGCCTTCCGAGTTATTGTGAACTGGATATTAAGAAGCTTGATTCACCAGATTCAAGAATCCGGAAGGGTCTCGGGACGTGGACTTTTATGAACTTATATTGAATTTTAGCATCCGTCATGTCCTGACTTGAATTTAATTAAGATCTTAATTCGTTTTGACAAGAATGAGGAGCTAGAAGTAGGGGGGAAAGGGTTGATCCATCTTCGATGGAGATGATGATTTTTATCTACTGAACAAAAACAATAGTAATATAATAAGTAGTAGCCCTGTTTTTAGGAGTGACCTCGTGGTCTGGGGATACTGAGACCCAGCCATGAGCTCACTATTTTTGCATGTAATTCAGTTAATTTGAGCGTTCTGGTCGAAGCCGGAGAACAGTAACGTTTTTGTCAGCCTGATGTAAGAAAGACCACCGAAAAGTACTGGCTTGGTAGAGACGGTGAAAAACATGCAAAGCTCTGTTTAGACGCTAGCCAGTCGTCTTAAGACTTAGTTTTGTTATCCGTCGATATGTATCTTCCGGGCGAATGTTACATGTATGTTTTTATGGCGCTCCTGGGTGTTATTCTTTTTTAACATCATGACCGGCAGAACCGTTAACGAGCATTCCGCGCCGAGCGGATGCTCACATTAACGCCCTTATTAGGCCTAAACCGCCGGGGCGGAAGGGTAGTTCGGAACGCGGAAGCCTTCCGGATTGCCGTGAATAGTTTTTTAACCTAGTTAAGACCGAAAATTCACGAACCAGGAAGGGTGGGGGGAATCGCGAACCCCTCATCCCCTGAATGGTTTGTGACCAAAAACACTTAAAGATATAAGCAAAACCAAACAAAAAATAGTATAGTATCCAAGAAAAACAAAAAACATAAAAAATAACCGAAAAAACCAAAAACAGTAAAAAAGTAAAAAATCAGTAGAAATCATCCCCCCAGACAAGATGTGATTCAACCCCCCCGTTTGTTGTTGATAGATATATTGTTGTTACAGGCATTTATATCAGTCAGGATCGTTACGATCAATTTTGTAGCCCGTTTGTGAGGCTTGTACTGTAGGGTTATTTGAGCATTTAAGCACGTTAATGATAAATTGCGCTCAATCCGGAAGGGTCAGCTGATTTGCGCTCAATTCGGAAGGGTCTTGGGTGAAGACCGATCCGGCAAGCAGTTCAAGGAGCAACAAGAAGGGGCTCAACGACAACAACAATCGACTGTTGGGTATCGTTAACAAGTTTTGTATCCCTTTTGGTACAAAAAGTAAGATAGTAATCTGTGGGGGGCTCGACAGTGCTGCACTGTAGTGACCCTTCACCGAACTGCGAATATCCGAGTTAAGCACCTTAATTCGGATAATAAACAAACCCGGAAGGGTATAGTATTACCAATATTATTATTTATATAGCCTATATTAATAGTCTTATATCAATTTTCAGACAAAAACAACGAGAACTGACCGGTTTTTAGGGTCAAAATTGCGATATTTTGATCCCCCCACAAGTCGCGATTTTTGAGATATCGATATTTTTTGAAACGGAAAAAAGCGCTAAGTTAGTGTGTTACATCGTAACTGCACTACTGTAATAAGTAGAACCGGTTAACTTTAGTTCGGAAGTGGTTGGAACTAGTTTGGTACCAAAAACCAAATTTTCCCAATTTTTGATAGTAAGAAACACTATAAAATCAGAAAATTTTTTGAAATCTTTGAGGTAGGACAGTAAAAATAGTTGTTCGGACAACGTCCACTAGTGAATCTACAAGTCTTAAAATCCGCTACCCGAAAGCCTTCCGGGTTGCAGAGAAATCGAACATAACGTGTTTGATTTGGTGGATTCATCAATCCGGAGGGGTCCAGGTAGCATAGTTTTTCGCAAATTTTTTCTACAATAGCGTTTTAGATCGGGTCTTTTGCATTGAACTAGAAGAGTATAGGCCTTCTGAGCTCGGATCAATAATTTTTAGGTCGAAAGGACCAGATTTGCGGAAAAAGTTAGGCGGAACCTATAAGAGAGAAAATTTTTTGAGTTCGGAAAAAAGACGTTTTGGTTAATAACTTTGGAACTACTGATCATATCGAGTTGATCTTGGTACCAATAGATCAGAAATTAGCTGAGCTTACTAATAGGATCAGAAATTTTTCGGAAAAGCGAGCGAGAAAATTTTTTGAGATTGTTTTTAGCAAATTACACAAATCCGGAGGGGTACACCCTTCACGTTTTATAAATTTTTCTAAAAAACCCTTAGACCCCTACCAAAAGTTGATAGCGATTGAACTAAGTAACTTAAGACAGTTCTAGACAAAAAGGGAGGGCTGAAGGCACAAGACAACCATAATAGAGTCGAAATTAGGCAAGTGATAAGACCCTTCACCGTTAGTGTGAATTGTCAAATAAGTGCCTTAACTTCAATCCGGAGGGGTCTAGGAAAGGACCCTATACCCTTCCCAGTTAATTCAAACAGCATAAGAGCAACGCAGAACGTATCCGGAGGGGTATAAGCTGAAATAAAGAAAACTACAAAAGCTACTTTGACAGAGCTAAGGGCTCCGAAGTCAGAGGGGTCCGAATCCGGAGGGGTCTACTTTCCACAAAACCGGAGGGGTCCGAATCCGGAAGGGTCTTATAGTCGCTAATTCGGAGGGGTCCAAATCCGGAGGGGTCTACTATTAACTAACTCGGAGGGGTCCCAATCCGGAGGGGTCTATATTCTGACAGTCCGGAAGGGTCCTATTTGTGCCAATCCGG